ATGAAATATATGGGAAAAACGAACAGTATTCAAGCTCAAAATTCTATTTGAAAATGCAGAAAAGGAACAGAGCAAACACGGCCCTCCAAAACATCTGAGGTGAGATCAGATGCCATGGAGGAGTGACCATCACCCACCGGTCACACCCACGTGTGCATCTTGTCATGATCGGAAACCCCGTCAACAATTCTGTGTGTAAATAATGGCATAACAATAATGAAAAATATCAGTCAGCATTTCACTTAATGATGAATTGTTTTTCCTGACATGGTCATTGTATCGACGATGGAACTTACGAAATTATTACTTTAAATGAAACCGCTGATATTCTTGTTTCATCAACATGTTTGTCAATAACTTACCTCGCTTTAGAAATCATTCATACGTAGAGCATTGTGGCAACGCTCTTTGAAAAAATTACGCACTTTGAAAAAAATTTTCAAAGTGCGTTAAGAGTCTACATCAATATATTTTACCATGGTGACATTTAACGCACTTTGAAAAAAAAAATCATATTTTAGTCATGGAAAGATTTTATTTGTTCTTTATCTTTCAAAAAACCAAGCCTAACCCTAACCTCAAAAATGGATTGATTTACTTCTGTCGAAAAGAGGAGAAGACGGGTATAAGATTCCTCTGTCCAAATCTTTATCTTTCCAATACATAGGTGTCGGTAACAAACGGGGGAGGGGAGCAATAAACCTAAAAAGGGTACGCTGCATTTTGAATGCTTATACGATGTACATATCTTTCCAAAATAAGTGGGGGGCTTAGCCCCCAATCCCCTCCCCTGGCCCTTCGCCCAGTCTTGATGTCTATGATATACTCAAAGCATTCGTATAATTATATATTTACCTAACTGGTATGCCCTTGAAAACTTTCAATATAAATGAGTTAATTAAAACAGATGAAAACTAGAACATTTTAAGTACAGTAAAACGTATGAGAGAGAAAGAATTTTCATAGTTTTGAACAATAAAATTGGCCCCTTTTCATTATGATAAATGCTAAGTTGCTTGAAGCTGTCCTCTGTTAGTGCCCCCTATACACCTTTACATCTACTTATCAGAGACTAGAATTATTAAAAAAAAAAAAAAGAAGAAGAAGAAACGAATTAATGAACTTAAGCAATCGTCACTCTTTTTTTCAAGACACTTTAATTTTCCCTTTTATTTTATCAAAACCTTAAATATTTAAAACGTCAAAATCTCAGGTCCTTCAGTGACTTTATCATAAAAAAGTTATCAACCTAGGATCTGTTATTTATCATACCGATTATTTCAAGGAATATTGATCAATCTTTATTTTTTTTTAAAGTGCGTTAATATGGTCAATATTAACGCACTTTGAAAAAAAAATATTTTTTTCAAAGTGAGTTAGCTTGGTCCCAAATTTTAACACACTTTGAAAAAAATTTTCAAAGTGCGTAATTTTTCAAAGTGCGTTGTAACAGAGCATGCTCTTGCGTATCTAATCAACTGAGAGCTATACACCCCGTATGCAGGTGATCAAGGTATATTGCTACATAAATAAGGAAAGTTGATGATTGGAAAACTATAATCATCACTTTTATCATAAAGCTAGGTTGTAAAATTACCATTAATATCCTTTTCTTGTAAAATATCCAAATATGAAAAAGATGTTATAGATTCTGTGATATTTTTTACTTCAAGCTCATCGTGATATCGTATCGGCATATGATAAGAATGTACATAACTATTGTTAATTGACAGTAAGTCCTTGATATATCTAAATGTCAAGTTAAAAGCCACAGGAAGTGTTTTCTTCTTTTCACGTAAGAGAGTTTCGACAAATTCTGCTGCATATGAATACAAAACGCAATTGATATTCATGGGGATTCCAATAGATTGTTGGAAGACCTAGTCTCCAAAACCACCTAGATATTGTCAATCAGAAACTCATGCATCTTTTATATCAACTTCAGAGTACTTTTGTGTACATAAACCGAGGTCCCTTTTTGCTGTTGGAGCTAGCACGAAAAAGAAGAAATGTTCTAAGTACCGAATAGAGGTCTAAATATGTAGCCCTCCACTGGCAAGTTAGGCGTCTCAATATGAGTGAAAAATTCTAAAAGGGAATTAAACAACAAAAAATAAACTCAACATGAAAATACAAACGCTGTTGTTGAATTAAATTGAATTGGAGAAACAAACCTGTGTAAGTGTTGTGTAATAAAACAAGAAAAACCTCGATCCACATTTCTCCTCTTATCGGTGCTTTGTGTTCAGAACTTATTTTTATCGGCTTATTATTACCTTATCAGGAACTCTCCTAATGTTACTTGAAAATCACAAAATACAATGCATAGCTCTATCAGAAAGTGAAGATTGATGGAGGTATATGTACTTTTTCATGGTTACTAAAATTATAAATTTCTGTGAAATCCTTTCAAAATGCTACTCCTCCTACAGTTTTGGTATGATTTAATATAACTTGGCACACAAGTAGACTACACTAAGATACATAATTCTGTATATCGGTTTTTGATTTCGATGAACGGTGTTGCCGTGGTTACTAAAAATAGAAATTTCTGTGAAATACTAGTACTCTCAAAATGCGACTCTAAATACAGTTTTAGTCTGATTATAATATAATGTGGCATGCATGTAGACTATACTGAGATACACAGTTTTTTTTTTAATTTTTTTATTTTCAAGAATGAAGTTGCCAAGGTTACTAGAATTGAAAATTCTGTAAAATTTTATTAAAAGCTTCTCCTTCAGTTGTAGGCTTATTGCAATCTTGCCACAAAAAGAGACTTAATCAAGGATCATTACATTTTTATTGCTGTTGTAAAGTTTCAAGTCCCAACTGCTACTTTCTCTTCCCCTGTTATAAGCACAAACCATTAAAGCTACAGTCTCGAACATGACTCCCCTCGGGTAGGGCGCTGCCCCAATGGAAGAGCATAATGGATAAGTTTAACATAGGAATATCTATTAGGAAAAATTTCTTAAGAAAAGCAAAGCCATGATTGGTCACATTTACATGGAAGCATCCTCGTGTAGTATAGATTTAGATTTGTTCAAATCATGACCGGGTGAGATGGAGTTGGGCGGGGGAGGATAGAGGGGACAACAATGGAAGTTCAAAAGGATATAAAAATGCCAAAAAATAGTCAAAGAAATATGCAAGTATATGGAACCACTTATTGATGTAAACCTTTACTACTGAACTGATTTCTGCTTTATTCTACTGCTAGCCACAGTTCACAAGTTAGCGATGTGGCCCACGGGCCTCTTATACTGAAAAAAGCAGTTGTCTATGATATCAAACAAAGTTTTAATTTATCGTAAGGAATGGTTGTATAAAGTGTAGAACTGTCGTACTTTGTCCTTTTTGATAGAATTACCTGTCAGATTTTTTCTTTCATTTATTCTTTTAGTTACTGTATATTTTGTTTCTGGAGTGCTTATTTCGTGTCAAATGGTTATCAATATATCATTCCTTAGTTTAACTCGAGAACAGAGAAAATGGTTTTGCATCCGTGATATTTTCGATGAGAAAAAAAAATCGACATACCTCAACCAAAAGCTGACCTAAATCTTAAATACCGGTATATAGGCGTGTACCTTCCTTTATTAATAGTTTCAAGTTTCTGTAAATCAGGTATAGCCATCGGAAATATGAGAACCTTTCACTGTAATATAAGATAGGCATCTTTTATAGAGTAGTGGATCTGTTTAAATTCTTAGGATCCATAATAATGCATGTCTTTATCTAAAAAAAATATAAAAAAAAAAAATAATTAAACAAGATTCTAATTAATGAAGCATTCACTGAGATATTTATGTATATATCACAGGCCCTTTGGAAATCAAAGATTTCAGGAATCTAGAAGACACAGAGTGGCTCTGACCCGGCATTTTATCCATCTGTCTGTCCAGCTGTCTGTATTTCTGTCAAAAATCGTTAAATATATTTATTGTGGTTATCTTATACATTGTTAAATCACCTTACTGAACCGATTTATTAAATGATTTAAGAACATGTTGTAAATGTCAAAAGTGATAACAGGGGAACAATAATTTGGAAAAATGGAGACAACTTCCTTTTTATAAAAGAAATCAGAGTATCTTCACTTTTTCATTACCATACAACTTTGACCTTGAGGCATACCGGGCAGTAACATCGCTCTTAATTTAAATCCGTTCAATTTAAGTATTTTGAAGCCACATCCGTGACGCAAGTTTTAGCCTTTGAAGATGTTATATGACCACAGGTTTCCGAGGATACCACAATGCATGATTCACCCTGATTTGGACCAACATTTGGGGTTTTCTGCTCACCTGCTAATCATTGTTTACACAGTAATTATATATTTTCATAGGTATATATCAATTATTTGTTTACACAAAAATTCCACCTATTCCCACATAAAGTCTCTCATTATCCCGAAGAATAAAAATAACTTGCTAATATAGAGGTTTTTACATTCAAACAAGCACATGATTAAACTTCAGGCCTGCAAATTATGTGTATGATTTTCAAAGAAAAAAAATATGTTTCATTGTTAGAATTTAAAGATCCTTTGCTAGCTGCAATTTTAGAATAAACAAACAAAAGCAAAACAAAAATAAATGACCTTAGACGTAATTTTATGTGATAATTTTCCTGTTATAAATTAAATTAAATTGATTGTATCATGATATCTTGGTTCAAAGGGATTTTTTTGATCGATGAAAGATAACGATTTAAAAAGAGAAAAAATAATTTTCTCTTTAGTTTTTTTATGATACCTTCATGCTTAAAAAATTACCAATAATTTGGGTGGAGAGAAAAAAATCGACAAAATCATTAAATGACGCATGTCTTTCATTATGCATGATTACATTCTGCATTCTATCTGCGTTATCTAGCTGCCAAGGTATACGCATGTTTTTACTTGGACGGGGATTTCCATGGCTAAATCTTCCTCCTTAATCGCTCACCTGATCTATGGAGATTTAAACTGAACATGGAATTATAAATCTATGTATAGGACTTCTCTGACGAAGGCGAACGAATCACGGTCCAGTGCTTCAACCATTGACCCATAACGGACCTACCGGGTGTCAGAGAGAAATGACCAACAACGACACGTTTAAAATTCTTACGCGGTGTGTGTTTAGACAGTTCACTGTGTTTACTTTTCATTCCTATTTATCTGTTATAAGGAGGATACAACTACTTGCTAGTCAGGACAAAGAAATTCTGAAGGTAGGGAAATCGATTAATTCGTCTGGAATGGATATTTAGAATGTGGAACCGGGCCATGTCGAAACCCAAACTTATGGGGGTGCTGAGCGCCTCCACGATGATCTACATTCTGGCTACCTTATCAATGCTCGTTCTACTAAGCACCATAATTGCCAACACACATTTAAATTCCTTACTGGACGTGTCCAAGCGGTTACAGACTTTTGTATCCTCGTATATTGGAGAAAATAATATGGAGGTGTCAAAACCTTCTATCAACAAATCTCACATGGACTTCACCCGTTTACATACGAGCACAGTAAGGACTATAAAATCAAACAGTGTAACAGTATCAAACAGCAAAACAACGGATATCCGACAAATAAAGTCAACAAGCATGGGTCCTCCACGCAGCACAGCAAGACCTAGTGAATGTAAGGCCTGTTTTGAACACAGGTTTGACTTCATACTGAACAATGTGGACATATGTCAGTCTGGCAATTCCTCCATTAAGGTCGTTGTATTGATTGCTACAGTCCATGTAAACACAGAAAAGAGAAAGGCTATCCGGGAAACATGGCTCAGTTACTTCCGGGAAAACACCGGGCAGGTCCGCTATGCATTCTTACTAGGAATGACTTCCGATAAAACTCTACAGGTTGCCTTGGAAACGGAGAGTGCCACCTATCGGGACATAATACAGGAAGATTTTGTAGATAGTTACAATAACCTGACCCTTAAAACGATGATGGCTTTCCGATGGGCCACCACATCTTGTGCCAAAGCCGAGTTTATAATGAAAACTGATGATGACATGTTTGTAAATCTCAACTCTTTGATGGCTGTTTTGGATAAAAATAAAAATATTCTCCAGCGTTCAGTCGGGGGATATTGTGTTAAATCAGCAAACCCAGTCAGGGACAAAGGGTCAAAGTGGTACGTCTCCTTAGCAATGTATCCCCACGCCAAATACAATGGTTACTGTTCCGGGACGGGGTACGTCACGAGCATGGTGGTGGCCCAGAAGGTGTTCGACATCTCTAAACATATACCATTCTTTCACTTAGAAGATATCTATGTTGGACTGTGTTTAAATAAGCTGGGATTTTCCTTTACACGGATACCCGGGTTTAACCCTCATTTTATACGTATATCCTGTGCCTATAAGGGCCCTGGTATTATAACGTCTCACCAAGTGAGTCCACAACAACTGAGAGAAGTATGGAATCTCAAATGCTAGTCATATTTCTACAACAGTGATTGAAAATATTTTGTTCAAAATAAACTCCTCACATGTTATGAATAGATGTATATTTGTTTTTATTTCAGAAGCGAAAAAACATTTTTTCGTTAATAAATTCAGAGCTGTTGAAATGCTACTGATTATGTTATACATTGATTCTGTTAAACTATTTTAATGACCATCTGTTAGAGATTAAAAATTCACATGAGGTGCTTTTAAACAAAAAGAAAAGGTCAGGGTTCTATAATTTCAAAAAATGGTCAATATTTTGTCGCTTTTAGGATGTGATTAAAATATCCATAAGTATCGCATTAAACGAAGAAAAAAGCGAAATCTAAATAATCACTGGTTGAATTTCACGGGTAAAAAATTTAATCTCAAAATATACAAGCAACATAAAATGTCCATGAACTTTATATCATTTTCTCAGCTGAGTTCCGTGATTTCACACCGTCCGCTGTTGAAGTGATAGACGTTCTTATAGCCACACTTGGCCCAGTGGTTCGGAGAGGAGTAAGGGGGACTCCCACAACTCTGTCCGTGTATGTTTCCCTCCCACTGTCCATTAACTACGGATTTGAATTCAAACCAACCATTTTCAGTCTGTGAGCAGTCCATCTGTACGTCAATCAACCAATAGTGCATACCGTACCTGTAGTAAAGGAAATCAACATATCTGTTTTGCTAAACAGGTTTTCGTTTTATCAAACCACATAATGTGGTGGAAAATAAAAAAAAAAAAAATGAATTTTACAGTTTAAAGTATTTTTTGACAAGTTTTGGAAATACATCATATAATTCTGACTGTAAAGTTTTTGAGACATTATCAAGGGTCTACTTTTACATTTTTGCACAAGAAAAATGTCCCTTTTATTTACACCGATACAACAAGTGAAAGGCCTATGTGGTACAATATTCACCAGAGTAACATTTATCTTCCTTACATATTAATGTGTAGTTATAAAACACCATTATTATGGCCATGAAATACATGGCTTAGCAAGATAATTTTTTTTAACATGTTGACTGAGTCTTTTAAAATATCGTATAGTCTTGTTTCTCACTGTATCACTATCTATAAAGAATTAAGGACCAAGACTTCTATAACTTGAAGGTACAAAAGAATGCTTGCAAGTTAACACTTTACAACTTACAAAATTGTTATGCAAAATAAACTAAATCCTCGTGTCATAGAAATATTACGTTACCATTTCCCAGCAAGCACTTTCTATTAGGGTACAAGTTTCTCTAAAGTTTAGCGTAAATAATGTCATGACGTAATATTTTAATTAGAAAATAATTTTTCTCATTTTTTGAGATTAAGCAAGTAATGAAATAGTTGGAATTTGGCAATAAATTGAAGATTTAATGAACTTTTTAAAGTGCGTGAAAATGCGTGATTGCGGGGAAACGGTAAATGCGTGATTTCGCGTCAGAAATAGGAAATGGTATATGCGTTAAAATGCGTGACTGCGGGGAAGGGGGTTAATACTAGAAAATGAAACTAAGTTTATCACATTTTAATCTAAGCTTTCGTGTTAAAATATGGCTAGGTGATAGACCCATTCTAGCCACAGGGACTGCGAACTGAAATAACAACATCCTGTTATTATGAGATCATTAGTATTATTATGACTCTGGTTATCATTAGACCACAAGGATCTTTCGTTTGTTGTGATCAGCTGAAGCCGATCACAGTTTACTTCACGTTAGGCACCCAGCAAATGTAACTATTCCTACTCTAACTCTGTTGAAATCATGAAAAAGTTGACATGATAGTGGTATAAAGTTTTTGATCTTAGCCCAGGTAATTCTACAAATCTGTATATTGTAGATCCTCCAGTTTTCTTGTTATACTCTTGCTGGAAAAGTGGGAAGGTATATAGTGATCGGGATGTCCGTCCGCTGAACATTACGCTTTGGGGTACCCATCTCTTATCCGCAACTCATCTTATACTACTGCATGAAATTTAATGAGACTTTCACAGATTCTTTGTTACATATAGAGCCATTGTGCACTTACTGTTTTACGTTAAGATTGGAAACATCCCTAACAAAAAAATACTATAGTTAACTATAGTTAACTATAGTTTACTATAGTTAACTATAGTGATAACTTTGACACTTTGAAAACTTTGATTTACTATAGTATAACTTTGTGATAACTTTGACACTTTGAAAAACTTTGACGAAAACTTTGACACTTTGAAAAACTTTGGAGAAAACTTTGACACTTTGAAAAACTTTGGCGAAAACTTTGACACTTTGAAAAACTTTGACGAAAACTTTGACACTTTGAAAAACTTTGGCGAAAACTTTGACACTTTGAAAAACTTTGGCGAAAACTTTGACACTTTGAAAAACTTTGGCGAAAACTTTGACACTTTGAAAAACTTTGACGAAAACTTTGACACTTTGAAAAACTTTGGCGAAAACTTTGACACATTGAAAAACTTTGGCGAAAACTTTGTCACTTTGAAAAACTTTGAAGAAAACTTTGACACTTTGAAAAACTTTGGCGAAAACTTTGACACTTTGAAAAACTTTATCGAAAACTTTAATACTTAAAAAAACTTTATCGAAAACTTTGATACTTTGAAGAACTTAAACAAAAAACTTGGATACTTCGAAAAACTTTAACGAAAACTTGGATGCTTTAAAACTTTGAAAAAGTTTATTGAAAACTTTGACACTTTAAAAAACTTTATCGAAAACTTTGACACTTTGAAAAACATTATCGAAGTTTTTGATACTTTGTAAAACTTTATCGAAAACTTGGATACTTTGAAAAACTTTATCGAAAAGTTTGATACTTTGAAAAACTTTATCTAAAACTTTGACACTTTGAAAAGCTTTGGCGAAAACTTTGACACTTTGAAAAACTTTGGCGAAAACTTTGACACTTTGAAAAACTTTGGCGAAAACTTTGTCACTTTGAAAAACTTTGGTGAAAACTTTGACACTTTGAAAAACTTTGACGAAAACTTTGACACTTTGATTTACTATAGTTAACTATAGTAAACTATAGTTAACTATAGTATTTTTTTGTTAGGGATATTTCCCATAGCAAAAAAAGAAGACACTACCATTCTTTCTGTATTAATGAAGGGTACCTATCTCTTATCCGCAACTCTTCCTATAGACCCCTTTCCTGTGACATATTTTGCCTAGGAGTTATTCCCCTTGTAGGGCAAAGTACTGAATTTACCTATTTGAGCAACCAATTTTAAACATGCATGCAAGAAATATATAGGGGGGGGGGGGGTATTACAATTTTATAATCATGAATTAATAGATGCTTTAACAAACGTATATTCATAAGAAAAATAGCATTATTTTTACCTCAGTAGCCAGTGTAACAAATTGAACTTGGTTGAATAATGAAGGGATCTGGGAATGTTGCCCTACAATATGGCGGCTAAGGGGTATAACTCCTAGACAAAATATGTCATAGGAAAAGGGTCTATACCACTGAAAACATTTAAGGACGCTCTAAATACTGCACACTAAAGAGCTCTATTCATAGGGTAGTTTTATGGAGTTAGAGTGATCTGCCCTTAGATGTAAGATTAAAGAAATTGTTATTTACAGTTATTTACATGATTTGTAATAGATTAAAATATTTTTAGCATTATAAAAGACCAAGAGTAAGAAATTTAATTATTTTCATCAATTTTTACAATGCAAGTAAACAACAGTGATTTCTGCTCACAAATAGTCCATTGTCTTTGAAAATTTTTCCTGCACAAATAAGGCACGTACCCTATGTTCTAAATGAGTAAAAAAGTCTCAATATGCATATCTTTATATGATATATTTTTCTCCCAGAAAAAAAACAGTTTCTGTTAGTGTTTAGAGCTTCCTTAATGAAAATTTCACATAATGCCATTGCGACCTCCTCTTTTACTTTTTGATCTGACACTTATTTCGGGTCTCCTAGAGCAAAACATGGAGAGTGTCATTATAAATTTATATGGGAGGCGGGGTATCATTTAGTGAGCTCAGTGTTCACGGTACTTCTAGTTTACTCTAGTAGTTTATTGAATACATGTTTCATCAATCTGAAACAGGCTTGGTTGTCCAACATTTCCATCATACACTTAACTACTTACGTGTTGAGTGGGTTATACCCAGACTGCCCTTTCACGTTTGTAGTCCAGGATGCTGGAGTTCCGGAAGGCGTTTTACCTTGGTAACTGTGTTGTCCAGCTTCCATTCCATACCAGTCAAGATGGCGATCGCCCGTACTCCAAGTATTGTATGGAGCATAATGCACAGCGCTTCCCAAATTATTAGCCCTTATCGCTATTGCGCATGCGCTGGTTGAAGCATCACTTGTACATCCTTGAGAAGGAAAGTCACATTTTTATAAACGGCTTTTAATATTTCATATATATATTTCCTTCTTAATAATTTGACAAAACAATGCTTTACGTGATATAAATTTAAAAGGTATAGATCTAGATTATCAGCAAACAAGCTACTTCATTATTGAAAGCTGAATAAAGTTCCATCCAGGTTGTATACCTTGTCTGTGATTGTGGTCGATCCCTCCTCGAATAAACAGATCCTGTCCTGGATTTGTTTCTTTCTGAATCATGATAACAGTACGCGCCCATCCTTGTGGGGCCGGGCCGACAGAGGGCGCAGATGTAGCAGGAGCTGATGACGCATGTTGGCCTCCTGAGCCGCTAGATCCGCCCCCTAATGTTTGTGTCGGACCAGTCGGACCACCTAAATTTCAGATTTACACCCACTAATATATACATTACATACATTGATTTTAAGTAATTTAGTATCTATTTCAAATATAAAGTATGTCATAGTATATTAATTTGAACTCTTTAAAAGTTCTTTTAAGAATTTATTACATGATATTTGTACGATTTAAATCAAGTTGAAAATACGCCAATTAATAGCTTACCAACAATAAAGGCTATGATTGGTTCTGCACTGTTGTCAATCACAATGTGGGCATTACCACTTCCATCCACTGTGATTTTTTTCTTACAGTCTGAAACAAGTTCACAATATTCTCCAGCTGGTAGCCCCGTCTGTAAAGTCCTGTCCATGTGACCTTGTTTGGCCATGGCAAAGAACCCTTTCTGTCCGCGAGCAAATGACACTTCCTCATTTTCATTCCTCCAGTGATTAACATCGGTTCCTGCCACGGCATTCCTGAAGGCTGCCATGTTGGCTATTGGATTCCACCTGTGTTCACATACCCATCCATTACCACAGGAACCGTCGGCGTTAATGGTAACGTCTTTTGCTGAGTAGTCAGAGTTATGGGGAGGTCCCTCATCCGAGCCGTGGAAATAATAACTGCTCATGACTCGGGTAAATCCATAGTTGTATGCCAGGGTGAAAGCAACCGCCATTTTGTAGTCACGTGGTGACTTATGAGTGATGAGATTACCGCCTCCTCCGTGTCCTCTTTGGTTGTCATGGTTATCAACAAAAACAAAGGCGTGAGAACTATCAGTCATTCCCCAACCGGGATCGTAAACTCCGTGAAGCATTCCAAAATTACGTATCCCTTCCGCAATCTTCTGGCAATATCTGAATTCTGTCACATACCCCAGGGCAGTGTATTCCCCGACCTTTATTGCACCATCATTTTGATCAATGACTTCGTGATAGAAAAACGGTCTGCCTCCCTCTGGAAGATCCTTTGTTCTGTCTTGAATGGCTTTAATATCCCCTGGCCACATATGCTTTGCAGCGTCTATCCTAAATCCAGCTACCCCTAAGTCTATGCAATGGTTGTAATACTCGGCCATTTTGTTTCTGACATATTCTTGACTTTGATCCAAGTCCGTGAGTCCCACAAGGAAACAGTTCCTGACATTGTTAGGGTCTCCATAATTATTAATATTACCATCGTGAGAAGGGCACTTGTCCCTGGAATTGAAGTTTTCCCTTCTAAACGGCACCCCCGGGAAATCATAATTGTCAGAGTTGAAGGAGGTGCCTCCCGAACCTTGACCTGCCCTTCCCAGTCCTGCCATATGATTCATCACGGAATCCACGTAAATCCTGAAAAGGCAGTCCTTAACAATATATGATATACATGTACATGGAGACTACGAACAGGATCCAAGCTTAAAAGTCAAATCTCATTCAAACTTTAGATGTTTCCTTCTAACCTGACTCCTACGTTTTTACACCTGGTGACCATGTCTTTGAATTCAGCCTCGGTTCCTCCCCGGCTGTGAAGTTTATAACTGACCGGTTGATACCTCTCCCACCACGGACGCATGGGGTGTGTGACCACAACGTGTTCATTTGGAGGTGAAACCTATTTGCAGAAATGTTATACCTTTACATGTAACAGGGAGCTAAATATCTTCTTATTTCAATCTCTTAGGTAACACCAAAGTTCTTCAAAAGGAGGTCCCCCCTCTCATCTGATATTTTGCATTTTATAAACTTTTACATACATGTACATAGGACCAGTATCTTTAGCTCAGGCAAAAATGTTAAAGAATGCATGTACAATACCTCCACACTGTTCATGTGCGTGTCCTAGAAACTTGTTACTATCTGCATTGACATTTAGGAATTGTCCTCCTCAATATCCTTCAGTTTGGTCTGAATAACTCGGTACCTAGCTTATAAGACTCCAATCTGAACATGGACTCAACAATACAGATCCGTACCTGAACTTCAAAGGACACACCTTTACCGAAGGCCCAAAAAATCCACTATTTTTGTGACATGATGGATTCCTTTTTTTCCTTTTTACCTGTCATCACATTACACACTCTCATCACCTCGGTACGAATTCTCATCTGAAGACACTACAATCCACTCTTTCCTTGCCATAATAGATACATTTCTTACCCGCCATCACACTGAACTCTCTCACCTGGACCCGTGGTTAAAAACTCTCACATCAAGATCATAAAATCCTCTCTTAAATGGGTCCTATTAATAAAGATACATTTCTTACCTGATCTGATTTCACTCTTTGACGTGAACGTCGCATTACACCCCCCCCCCCCCCACCCCACCCCGGAAACCACATTAATCTCTTTTACCTGAATATCACCGTGCTGTTTCTTACTTGAACTCCACAGAATCCTTTCTTTCCCAGGAATCTCTCGCACTCGTTGGCGATGTCTGACCACTTCCACTCAAACAGATGAACGATGACCTGTTTACCCTGACAGTGGGGGTCTGTGTACTCCCCCAGAACCACTGTTAATAAAGGATAGAGAGGGAGACACGGTAAGACGTGGTGTTTCCTTACCAAAGTTAAGGTGTTATCAAACATAGCTCATAGAGACTCCATCAGAAGCTTTATTCCATGGCTAACATTGAAAGAGTAATAAAACATGTTGGAGTATTCATTAAATTTTAGCTATAATGGAACAGCTTTTTGTTTTGTTATTTTACTGAGATAAAAATTGTAATGTCAAGCATGAAAGGTTCGCGATCGTCTTACTTATTTACAGTATAAACCAGACTCAACTAGACACCCAAGTAGCCCCAGAGAGCAGTCCCAGGGACTATTCTGGGGCCTCAGGTTAGGTCTGGTTGGTATTGTAAGTACACTCTCATGAACTACCGTGAATACGATTGTGAATAAGATTAAAGTCCAAAATAGTGCAAGCTTTTTTTTGGTAAAAATTATCTTCGAATGCCAAATATATAGGCCAAATCGTCATAGAAATAATGTAAATATAGGATAAGAATGTAATATTTAAGAACTCATGAACTAAAACACACCCCACACCAACATGTTTAACATAAAGTGTTATGATCTTCATGATATATGCCGACTTGAAGCGTCGTTGTTCATGTACCTCTTGAATTCTTAAAAATAAATTTATTTCTTAAATATACATGGTGTAGTTGCAATACATTCTGTACAATAAGCACAATGTGGGCAGTCAAATGATCGACGATGAATCGAAAACTATTTCTCTCCTCTTTATTTGCAGATCTACTCTGAAATCTGAAATCAACAAACACCACGTTGTCTTACCTGATAGCACCACCGGGAGGAGGTACAGCGGCGTAGTCAGTGGAACCTTCATTCCGTCAGATGTGGCTCCCGTTATTATTGTGACGTAGTAAAGTCTTATCAGACAGATTAACCTTGCTATATGAGGATTACCTAAAGCGGAGTGAGTATAATTGCACCAACGGTTATCTTTAGCAAAGGTCATGGCAGACTTTGAAGTGTTATAGCAAAAGGACTGGTGCAGGTTCGTTGACTCCGCCAAGAGGTTAAAAATAAGAACGAAATGCAATATAAAAAAAGTCCTTCTTAAAGTTTATAGTTTGACAAGAAGGCGAATGTTGGATTCTAATAGATAAGGGAAGGTAGATTTTTGATATTACTATTGAAAATAAATTATCTGTCAAGAAAATGGTCTTTCCTTGTCTGTTGTTACTACAACCTTCCCCTCTCCCACCATTTTGAACTTCCTGAGTTCTTGAGACTGACTTATTTATCCTTGTTAAATATCTTTCAGCGAACTAAATATGAAACATCTGTTTAATATTTAGACTTTTTACTAGAAAAAGATGTTACTAGTAACCTAACAACAAACTTTATGATAAACTTGATGACATTAACTTCATTGTATTTTCACCTACCTTTATTTATTTATTAATACAGTGTACAACCTTACATCCTACAAATTGAGTAAATGTCTCTCATTTAATTTAATACGCAAGAGCATACTTTACATGTAAACAATTTTTAAAACAAGCAAACTATCGAGAAAAAAGTTGATGAAACAATTTGAACTACCATATCTATACTGGATTCCGAAACTTCACTAAAATCCTTACAAACAAAGATACATAGCGGGTTCCAGTAAATGCTAAGCCAAGCTTCTTTCTTTACTCCGCACTAAGATATTAACAGTAGTGAAGAAGAAACCTTCAAGAGTACTGTGCAACAATATCATGAAGAAGTGGTGTGAATAAGATATGGATTCTTAAATATTCCAAGGAACTTTTTGACAATTTGAAATCACCAAAATTAACAGCCTAAAAACGTGCGACTTTTAAACTTTATACACAACCATTCCCCACGATAAATTAAAGTCCAGGCTTTTAAAAATCATTTACAGTTGTTTTTTTTTTAAATAAAAATGGAACTCATAAATGTACTTATTTTGTCATTGATTCATTTACAAAAAAAATCTGACACAAGTACTCTGAAGATGACATCAAAAATATGCTTGAGTTTCTGATTGAAAATATCTATGTTGTTTTTGGAGACCAGGTCCTCCAACACTCTAATGGAATGCCAACTGGTACCAACTGCGTCCTGTTATAAGCAGACCTATTTTTGTATTCATATGAAGCAGAATTTGTCCAAAATTTTGCACGTGAAAAGAAAACACTTGCTGTGGCCTTTAACTCGACATTTAGATATATCGACGACGTATTGTCAAATAACAATGGTAATTTCCATTCTTATGTCGATACAATATATCCTGGTGAGCTTGAGATGAAAGATACGACAGAGTCTGACACATTTGTTTCATATTTGGATATTTTACTTGAAAAAGACGTTAATACTTACCTAACAACCAAGCTCTATGATAAACTGATGATTTGATGCGATTTAATTGTTCGTTGGTTCTTACCGTCTGTAGTCAGTAAAAATTCAAAATATGATACAAGTAAAATGAAACACTCCATTTTTTCTTTGATTTTAAGTTCGATGAGCTAAACCAAATCAGAATATGACTGGAATTGATATCCTATATTGGCTATGACTATCTTGAATACTAGTACCCTGATGATTTTGCTAAATACTATGACTATCTTTCATACTTGGACGGATAAATATGCTATATGCTAGTATTCCTAAGTACTTGTTTGCGAAAATGTTACGACTCTCTCATACTTATGACAGTATCTTATCCTTTGGCTGTTAATATGCTATAGATTGTTGCTTTCATTCTTTGACTTAAAAGGTGAAGACAACAAACGGCGAACTTGAAACGAAAGGAATACTGTTGAACGTTAGTTAATACTTGTAGATGGGGATTGCTAGTAGAAAAAAGACAGTGTCTTTAATTTATGTCAAAACTTATTAGAAATATAATCATAATGAAAAGATTATATTTGCTTCCTCCATTTTTTACTTCACAAATATGTGTCTTAATTATCCATTTCTTACAAAAAATATTTCTTCATTTGTTCAGGTGCCTTGTAAAGAAAGACTTAAGAAACCGAGTGATTTTTTATATCTTCTCTTATGGCAAAATTTATCTGTTTATAGTCTTCTTTATAGGAGTTTATGGTCATCAAAGTTAGTATGAAGTTGTTTCTCCTTTAAATCCCAGTTCCATGTTTACAAACATTGAACATGTTATTGTGGATAAGGTTTTCAATGTTATTTAAATGAGTTAAAAATCAATAGGCACAGCGAACCATGATCCTTCAAATTTAAAAACAGGAAGTTAAATTTGTTCGATAGCGTACATGGCAACAATAGGAAAATGTGTTTAGTTTTCTTGGCAGTATATTTTCTCTCAATAATTTCAGATACAGGTAAGTCAGTATTTACACCTGTAAGTAACTTCCGAGATTCCAAACTTCAAGTGATTTTATTAAGTGGGCATTTCTTGCCTATCTCAACATGTATGTACACGTAAAAACTAAAACAACGAATAGTTCAATTTGTTTTGTGCTTAAATTTGGAAAGAAATTCAAGATTGATTCAAACAAATTTATACTGATAAATAAATTTAAAGATGGGTATTTTTACAAATAGGCACTTTTCTACATTGATCTAATGTTTCCTCTCTTTGGTTACCAGTTGCTGAATATTGCTCGGCCAGCTCTAACCTTTTCTATTGTGAGTATGGCTGCTGTGGAAATTCCTGCTGCCCAAATGAGTAAGTACCAGAAATAAAGCACCTTGAAAAATAGGAAAAAGCACCTTGAAGACAAAAACAAACATTTAAATGTTAAGATAGCTAAAGCATTAACCATAGAGAGAATAACAGAGGGTGAACTAGAAAAAAAAACCATACAGAGAGAACAAGTGTCGAGAGAACTGATAGTCAAAACAACTTTGTGCAGAGACAAACTGTGTTGGATTAACAATAAAAATGAAACATGGAGTTAACGAACAGTATTCAAGATTAAAAGTGCATAAAACAATACAAAATAGGAGCAGAGCAAACACGGACCTCCAAAACATCAGAGGTGTGATCAGGTGCCATGGAGAAGTGAGCATCCCTTGCCTACCGGTCACATATGCCATGTGCTCCTTGTCATGATCGGGAAATAACGGAAAACCCGTCGACAATTCAGTGTGTAAATAATGGCCTAACAATTGGTATGCAAAACGTCAGTCAGCATTTGACTCAATGATATTTGCTGACAAGGTCATTGTATCGATCATAGAATTTACGAAATGATGACATGTTCTTGCCTTTCGAGTCAACTGAGATATATAAACTCGGTATGCAGGTGATGAAGGTATATTTGCTGCATAAGTAAGAGAAGTTGGCGATAAAAAAAGTTAGTCATTACTTTTATCATATAGATTGGTTGTTAAATTACCATTAACGTCTTTTTCGAGCAAAATATATCCAAATATGAAACAGGTGTGTCAGGATATATCGTATCGACATAAGAATGGAAGAACTCGTAACAAAATGGCAATATATGTCCTAAATAAGAAATATAAAGTAGACAAACCACTCATAAAAACCTTTAAAATGCTTATTACCACTTTAGAACAGATACAGTATTGTCAAACCATCTAAGACCATATAGTTTAAGTACCTTGGTACCAACAGGCAGTAGATTTCAGTTTCTAGAAATTTTAAATTTAGTATTTTACATCATATATTTCACTTAGGGTTGAAGTGTTTTGAATCTATTTCATGTGTGCTTCAAATGTTTTGTAATGATGAACTTTGATTTAATCTTCTAACTTTCCCTGAGGTAGCTATTGGTCAATGATTTAGTTTTTAACTTCCCCAGGGTAGCTATCAGTCATTGATTTGATATTTCAACTTTCCCCAGGATAGCTATTGGTCATTGATTTGATGTTTTAATTTTCCCCAGGGTAGCTATTGGTCATTGATTTGATATTTTAGCTTTCCCCAGGATAGCTATTGGTCATTGATTTGATATTTTAGCTTTCCCCAGGATAGCTATTGGTCATTGATTTGATATTTTAGCTTTCCCCAGGATAGCTATTGGTCATTGATTTGATATTTTAACTTTCCCCAGGTTAACTATTGGTCATTGATTTGATATTTTAACTTTCCCCAGGTTAACTATTGGTCATTGATTTGATATTTTAACTTTCCCCAGGTTAACTATTGGTCATTGATTTGATATTTTAACTTTCCCCAGGGTAGCTATTGGTCATTGATTTGATGTTTTAATTTTCCCCAGGGTAGCTATTGGTCATTGATTTGATATTTTAACTTTCCCCAGGGTAGCTATTGGTCATTGATTTGATATTTTAACTTTCCCCAGGGTAGCTATTGGTCATTGATTTGATATTTCAATTTTCCCCGGGGTAGCTACTGGTCATTGATTTGATATTTTAACTTTCCCCAGGGTAGCTATTGGTCATTGATTTTATGTTTTAATTTTCCCCAGAGTAGCTATTGGTCATTGATTTGATATTTTAACTTTTCCCAGGGTAGCTATTGGTCATTGATTTGATATTTTAACTTTTCCCAGGGTAGCTATTGGTCATTGATTTGATGTTTTAATTTTCCCCAGGGTAGCTATTGGTCATTGATTTGATATTTTAACTTTCCCCTCGGTAGCTATTGGTAATTGATTTGATATTTTAACTTTTCCCAGGGTAGCTATTGGTGTGGGGACGACGTTTGGTGGGATCGTCCTGTTGATAATCGCCGGAGGAGTGTTTATCTGCTGTATACAGCGGAGATACAGCCCAAAAGAGGAGGTCAAGTTCACCAAGGACGCACAGACGCAGTGGGAAAAAGGTAAAGTCCTCAATGGGGAGAATATTTCTCCAAATGAAGAATTTACAAAACATCATTTAATGATGGTGTGTTATGGTGACAAATTTACACTGGCAGAAAAATTTCAAGAAATAAAACAATTCTAATAATGAGTATCTAAACAATAGATTTCATTCATAGCAAAACGATCTCTTGAGAATACACAAGTTCATATTAATTTGTACAGTATATTTTTTTGTCTTTTTAGCACCAACTGGTGTAGATATGAAGTCTACAGTTGACCAAAGTACCAGAAGACGTCGGTCTACCATAGCACCACTCCCACCACCGACATGTAAGTATATTGTACCATAATCTACGATAGCACCACTACCACCACCGACATGTAAGTATAAAGTACCATAATCTACCATAGCACCACTCCCACCACCCACATGTAAGTATAAAGTACCATAGCACCACTCCCACCACCTACCTATAAATATAATGTACCATAATCTACCATAGCAGCATTCCCACCACCGACATGTAAGTATAAAGTACCATAATCTACCATTGCACCTCTCCTACGACCTACATATAAGTAAAAGTATGATGTACCATAATCTACGATAGCATCACTCCCACCAACTACATGTAAGTATAATGTACAGTAAAACTCAGGTTTAGCGAAGTTACTGGGATCTATAGAATTACTTAGCTATATCCATAATTCGTTATATCCGTATAAGGAATTCATTAAATTCACATTTCTGGGGATCCAAGATAATTTGGCTATATCCATGAATTCGCTATATCCGTGTTCGTACTAAACGAGTTTTTCTGTACCGTAATCTACCATAGCATCACTCCCACCAACTACATGTAAGTTAAATGTACCATATTCTACCACAGAACAACTCCCATCATCTAAATGTAAGTACATGTATGATGTACCATATTCTAACTTAGCATTACTCCCACCACCTAAATGTAAGTATAATGTACCATACCCTAGCATTACTCCCACCACCTACATATAAGGATAATATGTACCAGAAACATTTCTCAACTTAAAAATTTATTTTAGCAATACACCTCCCTCTCCTCTTAACATTTAATATGATGTACTAGATACCTTAATCTCCAATTAACTGCATGATGCACATAGTATCATAGCATCTCTTTCTCTCCATTAAATTGAAAGGATGATCAGATAACATCTTTCTCTGAGTGAGTCTCCGCGTAACAGTAAATATGATCAGCCATAGCACCCCTCTCTACGTAACCGCACCTATAATCTATCATTATGGTGTCCGAATAGGGCCATTTGCTAAAGCTCAACAGCGAGTTCAGAAAAACACGCTAACGCGCTAACACACAATACGCTGTCACGCTAATATGAGTTCGCACAACACGCCGTCACGCTAACAAACAACTAGCGACGGTGTGTTGCTTGAAAGCATGCTAGCACAACGGTGTTTTGCTTGAAAGCGTGTTAGCGCGATGGCGTGTTTTGTGTAAGCGCGTGTTTAGCAAATGACCCTATCCGGACAGCATGTATCATAGCCCCAGAACCTACGATTATTAGAGTGTCCAAAATTTACTGTTTAAAAGGTGTATTGTATTTTCCTCTAGTTGCTTTAAGACAACAAACCAAAATAGAAGAAGCTGAAGAAAAGCCAGAAACTACGGAAGACAATCAAGAGAATCAACCAATCGACAACCCGGTGTGATGACGTATCTTATCACGTGATATCAGTGCCATATAAATACCAGTATCTAGTGCCAAAACATACTGAATTCTACTACAGGCATCTGACTTATGGATAGTGAAATACATTCCCCACTCCCCGCAGCTCCTGAGAATACATGAATCCTTTGTTTGTCAATCTGTTTTTTATATCTGATATAATTTTAGAGATTTATCAGTTTTAGAGATTTGTCAATTACAGCATATACTTAGATAACAGTACTAAACTTAAGAAAAGTGGGAAATGATATCAGATTTCGAAATAGGAATGATACACTAGGAAATTGTGTATTTTGGAGTCTAAAATTTTTTTTAAGAAGCTGGGGGAGGGGGTTACACCATCTATTCTTCAGGTGCCTGTGAATTTTATGTGTCAAAAAGCTTTATAATGCATAATATGTATGCCATGTTTGAGTGACTGTTTTCATTGTGTATGATAAGTGAATGTGGAAATTGTTGCAAGAAATCGTGACTATATTTAAAACAGAACTATTGACTGATATTATTTCGCCTGAATTTTGAATAACTGGTAGATTTTATGTTTTAATGCATATTAATTCAATAGTTTTTTTTACCCACGCTTATTTTCATCTAGTAAATAATTGAAGACTCTCTTTCTTTACCTCTCACTTAAGTATCAACAGCAGCGAAGGAGAAATTTCTGGAGTATTCCGTATGATATATTTGAGAAGAGGTGTTTATCAGAAAAGGATACATTATAACTCAAAAGAACTCTTTAAAATTAAGAGACAGCAGTGAGAATTTTACCAAAATCAATTACATTAAAAATTAGGACTCTTCAACACTTAACAAAGATAAATTACAGTTTTTTTCTTTTGCAAAGCTGCTTTTTCAACAAAAAATTCTTTCTTTCATGTACTTATCTTTTGTTTGTCATTTACAATATAATTTTGTTAAAAACATTTTGGTTGTACTCTCAAGTACTCCAAAGTTAATATAAAGTCTTCCAACAATCTGTTGGAATTTCCATGGGTACGGATTAGGTTCCATTATTAGCAGACCTTCTTGTATTCATATGAGGGATAATTCAGAAATTTCTACATGAAAAGAAGTACCTGTATCTTGCTCTGGTTTTCAATTCAACATTTATTTAAAAAATCAGTTTAAACTGTGTCCATGTCCCTTTAAGACCAACATTTTGCAACTCCTATGCTCGATATAGGGACAATAAAAAAAAATGGCGAAGTTTACATACTACACAGCTAATTGTGCCACGTACGTGTTACATATGGTTGCACATAACACATGTATCACGTATGTGAAATGTACGTATCACATACGTGTATTACAAACATACGTTTCACGTATGTGGTACAACGTACGTATAACATATGTGTGACTACATACGTTTCACATAACGTACGTTAAACGTATGTTTGGAATACACGTATGTGTTACGTACGTAAAACGTACGTGTAACATATGTTATGTGCAACCATACGTTACACGTACGTTGATAAACGTATGGTTTACATGTGTATTGTCAACCTCATGTTACACGTACGTTAATTAACATATGGTTTACATGTGTATAGTCAACCACATGTTACACGTATGTTAATGAACACATGGTTTACATGTGTTTTATAAAGCACAAATGTCATGTATATAATATAGTTTCATCTTCCCAAGTCAAGAGTTTCTGATCCGCTCCGCTCCACATAAACCCTTGACCGAATAGGCTAAGTTTGACGGGGTTTACTGTCACGCCATCTAGTGAGATTACATATTTTGAACTCTCCTGACCTCTGCTATTAGCCAATCAGAGTAAACGAATTCAACAGCGAATTCGAGATAATATTGGTAGTCGGTAATAAATTCAATATAACTCAACTACAAAACTGAGACAAACCTTTAAAAGGGCTATCTAATGAAAAATACACTATCCTTGGGACTAAAACTGACGTGTTTTTATGTTTACGATGTAGTTTCAGTTTAAATAAAACAATGATTTTGATTGGTTTATAAAAACTTGCATGAGGCCATTCAGAGAACGCATTTCTAGCCCCGTGAAACTTAGCCTATTCGGTCAAGGGTTTATGTGGAGCGGAGCGGATCAGAAACTCTTGACTTGGGAAGATGATATACATGTAGTTTATGTGCATTATAAACCACACATTAAATATACTAATGTACATAAATAAATTATGGTTAACTTGTTTTCTAAAGCTCTCATTACATATATGTTGATGAATATAGTATGTGTATTATCAGGCACATGTTACATATGCATTTAAAAAGGTGTTTTACATGTGTGTGAAAACCTATGTTTGAGAATGAGAAGGCTGTATATTTTGTAAATTCATACTATTACATACATGTATGATAAATGTAGGTTGACTATAAATCTAATCCTTTTTATTTTATTTCAAATTTAATTTATTAATCAATTTATCATTTAGTTTTTGCTATAAAGAGAAAAAAAACAATGCGTTAAATATTTATTGTTGCTAGGGACTACATAATTTCGCTTAAAATACAGGAACTTTTTGTATAAAAGTATGGCTGACTTCCACAACTAACTATTTTACCTTAATAGTTTAAGTGATTTTGGAGAACTAATCAAGATATTATTTCACATAACAATCAATAGGCACTTAGCAATGCTTAGGGCTTAACCAGTCTAGTCGAACCCTCAAACGGGGGTATACCCTCAAACGAGGGTTTTCCTTCCCTAAATGCAACGAGCGAAAGCAGAAGAACGATAACTCTTCTTATTTAAAAAAATAATTTTTTTTTAAATCATAAACATACAAAAATGAATTGTCTACACCTTTGTTTTCAATTAAAAAAAAATAATAAATATGTTTTCGTTTTTATTCACGTCATTTCTGAGGCACAAAAGTTTGTTTACATGGCAGAGGAAATTCAGACATGCCCACAAGAAAGTGTCGAAAAATAATAAACAACATGCTAATTACACAAGATTTTTAATACCGGGGAAGGGGATTATATGTAGTTCAACTTTAAACAAACAATTGTTTGTTTATTCATCCGTTTTATTAAATTATGAATAAAAAATCTAGTTGTATCAAGCGTGGAGGTCAAGGCACAGAATACGCTAACTTTGGGAGAGAAAAATTCTCGATTTTTGCAATAAACATATACTTTTTCGCAATACAATCTCTTTAAACATCTTTAATCTACCAAATTTGAGTACATACAGAGCTACGAAATAATCCATCACTTTGCACGAGCATATTTTGTGGACCACACGTTTTTCCATGAAAAACGACATTTTTTTAGTGTCTGCGCATGCGCCGTACCCCCGTTTGAAGGTACGGTTTTCCTATTTCCGTTTACCCCCGTTTGAAGGTTCGACTAGACTGTTAACCTGTTATTCAGGAAGAAGAGCAATCATAGTGATATGACCATCTATAAAATCCTTCTTATAATATGTATAACATGTCCTTAGATCAGAAGTTGCATGTATTTTATCAAATTAATAATTATATATTTTAAAATCTAAAATATCTTTTTTTGACATAAACATTGATGTTTGGTTAAACCCAATGACCAGATCACAACTGAAGTATACATGTGTGTGCGTTGTTGATTTGTCGTGTGCGTATCTAATGTTTCAATTTATTTCACATTGTTTACCTTACGTCCATTTTCATGTCTGGCATGATGTTATGAGTTCGCATTGGTTTAAAATTTACTCTAAAAACAATAAACAAAGTTTTCTCCAATCTCGTCATGTGTATCGGATATCGGTAGAGGCACATAAAATTGAACTCGGTCATCGGTAGATATAATCAATCCGAATTCAAGAGCAAAAATATATTTTAAAAAAAAAGAGAAAGAAATTCATGATAAATTCACAACAAATCTCAAAAGGGAGTAAATGATTCATCTAGATAATTATCACATATTCAGTGGGTACCGTCCGTATAAAACTTATAAAATATACCTTCCGGAATTTTCCAGCCTCCATTTATGTACTACATGTACATTACCAGTGACGTCACTGGAAAGAGAAGTCTGACGTCTGCAAGTTCTAGGGCCTAGTTAAAGGTGAGGAATGCATAAAATCAACAATTATTTAATTACTTTATGACTGTGTGTTGCATGTAAACTAAGGGGGGTGTTTTTTTCCAGTGTATTACATAATGGAGACTTGGGTTACCAAAAACAGAAAATATTGACCATGTTGAGGCAGTGAGCTGTCTTGGTCAGCACCCAGGTGTATCCATCAACACGGGCACGTTATATCTAAATGGTGAAGTTTAAAAGTACTGTTATAACAATTAAGTATTTATTTAAAATGTTTTTTAACCTAACAAATAAGATGCAATAAAAAAGAAACAACGTACAACTAGTATTTGATGTAAAGTTCCACTCCCTGAATTTATTTCTTTTTACAGTATTTATCGATAAAACATCACATTGGTGGTGCGCATGCGCGAAAGTAGTAGACGTAAATTTTTGTTGCTCTTAAAATTTTTCCAATGTGGTTCTATACACAACCAGAATTTCCTCTGTCAAATCAAAATCATGATTTAGCTGTGAAAATGCAGACTTTAAACTTCACCATCCTCAGACAAGTGATTAATAAGAATATATTAAAGGACCAAGAAAACACAAAGTCCTTGTTAGTATTCCTTATCTCCATCCTTATTGCAAGATCAAACGATGTTGAGAGTAACCCTGGACCTGCTGATTCCTCCTACCCATGTGGAACTTGTGATCTTCCAGTTACTTGGGATGACAAGGGTATTATGTGTGAAACATGCAACCAGTGGTACCATGCTACCTGTCAATCTGTTCATAGTAAGACATATAATGAACTTGCCAACAACAGTGCTATTGCTTGGGATTGTATCATATGCGACTGCCCTAACTACAGCTCAGTCTGCTTTGAACATATAGTCACAACATCAAACCCCTTCAGTGTGTTATCAGACTCAACCATTGCTAGTCCAACACCAAGTGCAACTATTACACCAGTTCATACCTCGACACCAACTAAGAACCATCAACCTCGACCAAAAACATCTCCTATCAAACTACTAAATGTAAACTGCCAGTCAATAAAGACCAAACAATGCCGAATCAAAAATCTCATAGAAAGTACCAAACCTGACATTGTTGTGTGTACTGAGACCTGGACAGACCCATCAATTACAGACAACCAAATCTTTCCAACAGAGTATAAACTATACCGTAAAGACCGTGCCTCTAATGGAGGAGGTGTGCTCATTGCTGTCAACAAAAAATATGTGAGCTCACCAGTTCCTGAGCTAGACTCTAACTGTGAAATCATCTGGACGAAGATCAGTCTAGTTGGACGGAAAGATCTATATATAGCATCATACTATAACCCCAAAACATCTAATGAAGAATCTTTAGAAGAACTACGAAAAAGCTTAAATCGGGTGCACCAGGTTAAAAATGCAAGTGTAATTGTTGCAGGCGATTTCAACTTACCAGGATGGAACTGGACAAATAAGACACTAAAGCCAAATACCGCCTGGTCAGGAAATCACTACAAATTTGTAGATATCCTGGATGACAATGGCTTAGTTCAGCTAGTAGAATGCCCAACAAGAGGCGAAAACACCCTGGACTTGATAGTGACCAACAATCCATCAAAATTTAACAGAGTAGAAACCATACCAGGCATATCAGACCACGACATTGTCTTTGCAGAAATAGACACGAACATCCTAAAGAAACATCAAAAACCTCGAAGAATCCCCTTGTATCGCAAAGCCAGCTGGGATACAATGAAAGAAGATATGACATCAACCCTAAACACAATATCAAAGATGGACGTTGATAATCACAGTGTAGATGAGATGTGGAAGTGCTTTAAAACTAACCTGGAAAACAGCATAAAGCAAAATATACCACATAAAGATGCCAGAGCCAAAGATGGCCTACCATGGATAACACCAGAACTTAAGAAACTCATCCATAAGAAAAACAGACTATACAAAAAGAAGAAGAAATCTGGAGACAACAGAGATAATGAACACTTTAAAGAAATCAAGGGGAAGGTACAAAGAGATCTAAGAAGAGCATATTGGAACTACATCGAGGGAATAGTAACACCTAAAGTAGAGGACGACCAATACAGCGGCCTAAAGCGCTTCTGGACCTATATAAAACACCAAAGAACTGACAACAATGGAATCTCACTAATCCGCAGTGAAGGAGTGCTACATGCCAATCCGACTGACCAGGCAGATGTGCTAAACAAGCAGTTCCAGTCCGTATTCTCAGAGAAGACACATATCAGTACTGAAGAATTTACTCGTGACTGTCCTATGAGTGGAAAACACCCAGTGGCACCAGAACTGCACATCACCCATAATGGAATTCTAAGACTATTGAAAAATCTGAATCCATATAAAGCAGCGGGCCCAGATGGTATTAAACCTAGAGTACTGAAGGAGCTGGCTGACAGCGTGACCCCTATTCTCACCATCATCTTTAAGAAATCCCTAGAAAGTGGAGAGATACCGTCGGAGTGGCGTAAAGCTCATGTTAGCCCGATTTTCAAAAAAGGGGATAGATACAAGGCTGAGAATTATCGACCCATCTCCCTTACATGTATCTGCTGCAAGCTCATGGAGCATATCATCACCAGCCATATAATGCAACACGCTGATACCAACAACATACTATACCCACTTCAGCATGGTTTCCGTAGCAAGAGATCCTGTGAATCCCAACTCATTGAGTTTATAGATGACATAACCAATCACATGGCTGCCGGAAAGCAGACAGATGTATTGATCATGGACTTTTCCAAGGCTTTTGACAAGGTCAGCCATAGCCTCCTCATCCATAAACTCCGACATTATGGGATCCAGGGAAAAGTGAACAATTGGATTGCTAGCTTCCTGTCCAACAGAACACAAGCTGTAGTAGTCGAAGGAGAAATGTCCAGCTATGTCAATGTTGACTCCGGAGTGCCCCAAGGGTCAGTCCTTGGGCCATGCTTATTCCTGTTCTATATAAACGACATGCCAGAAGGCCTCAATGCCACAGTAAGACTCTTTGCTGATGATACTATCGTATATCTTACTGTCACGTCAGAACTGGACACCCAGACACTCCAGGCAGACCTTGATAAACTGGGCATTTGGGAAAGGAAGTGGAAGATGGAATTCCATCCTGATAAATGTAATGTACTATCAGTCAGCAGGAAGCCAAACCCAATACATCACCAATACAAGCTACATGGCCATACTCTAGAACACGTTAAAAGAGCGAAATACCTCGGCTGTCTCATAACATCAGACTTGAAATGGAGCGATCATATAAGTAACATCTGTAGTAAAGGAAACAAGACCTTAGGATTCCTCCGCCGAAATTTAAATATCAGCTCAACATCAATAAAGGAGAATGCGTATAAGTCATTAGTAAGACCCCAGTTGGAGTACGCAGCACCTGTCTGGGACCCCTACACCCAAAAAGACACCCATAATCTGGAAATGGTCCAACGACGTGCTGCACGCTATGTAAGCAATAGGCATGGAAACAGGTCAAGTGTGGACAGCATGATACAACATCTGCAATGGCAAACACTGGAAGAACGTAGGCGAATTTCCAGACTCGTCCTGTTTTATAAGATCGTTCATGATGAAGTTGCCGTTACCAAGCATGATCGACTTATTCCACCACTACGTCGATCACGACATACTCACCAAGAAGCCTACCAATTACCATCTTGTAAAAGTGACTATAGAAAATTCTCGTTCTTCCCTCGTACCATCAAAGAGTGGAACCATCTACCACCAGAGATTGTCATGGCAAAAACACTTGAGACCTTTAGGTCTCAGGTGACCACCTATATGCCATGAATCATAATTAATATTTTAACCTTTTAACCTTTTAAATTTTTATGATTTTGGAACTCCATGCGCACCACACATGCCATAATAATCAACTAGTTGATTGTGGGCAGTACATGGCAGAAGCAGAAGCAGAAACATTAGATGGTAAATGACATTAATATCTTTGAGTGCAATAATGGTGTAGGGTGAGTTCACCATGCATCGGACACATACCTTGCTTCGGACAAATTTAGGCAATAGACTCTCTTTCAACTTAAGAGTTCTGTGTATTTATTTGTTTCTGTCATAAAGACGAAGATTTAAATTTTTTAATGATACCGATTGTGTTTATCATGTTGTGATAAAAATACCCCGCAAATGGTCTTGAAGTTACGTCATATTTTACATCATCAAAGGGGAATAACCCGAAATTTATGATTTTGCCATTTTTAGAGTTATCGTTCTTTTAAATTCGACTTAAAGAAACGAGTCGGACTTTGGTGAATTTTGTCAGGGATTGGTAATTTTACATAAATTATAAAGAAATTTCACTTCAATGTTTGTTTAATTCTTATTAGGGCTGGTTTTTACTAGTATGCTATTTTCACCGTACATCGGACACAAATTAACCATGCATCGGACACTTTTCGATGCAAAGGTAAGCACTACCATTTTCATACAGAACCCAGCTGACAGCTGTTTTTTGCGGAAAAAGAAAATAAAAACTCTATATTTTCAGTCAAAATACAAGTTATCGATATACGACGTCTGGAATTTTACTCAATTTATTTCTGCAAACCAGAATATGATAAACCATGAGAAAAAGGCGCGAATTACGGCATTATAAGCATTTTAAAGCATTTCTAAGGCAGAGTGAGGTCTCGAGAATCGTTCTACATTTGTGCAATAATATCGTCAATTAAATTTAAATTAAGGGTTATTTCTCAGATAAAAGATGAAAATATATCCATATCAAGGATTTTAAAGCACTGTGATAAAGGTATGATATTTTTCCGGTCTCCATATTGTCTGTCCGATGCATGGAGAACAATGTCCGATCCATGGTGAATTTTCAGTTTTTTCTAAAAACTCGATTTTCGGGGATATTTTCTCAATAAACGGAATATAATTGTGTCCTAAATTGTTATTTTAATCACAAACTAAATGTTAAACTCCATTTTGATAATTTTCCGTTGGTAGCTATACCGCTAGAACTTGTTGAAGTACAAGGGTATCCGATGCATGGTGAATTCACCCTAACAGTTTTGTTTTTACATATCTGCCCTTTTAATCCTTATGAATATAAATTGTGTTTGAGATTGAGAATTTTTATGTGATTTTAGATATGCATTCCAGGATGGTGACTGAAGCTCATCTTTGTAAACACCTAAATGCCTAGAATGGACTCCAAAACAGATTCTTAAAGTTTAACCAGTATAATCTTGAATATGGTAATACTTTTAATTATAAAGGAATCATATTTTCTGATCATATTGCTTTTAGACTTGCAAATACTACATGTAACTTGAAGCTTTTCATGTAAAATTTGAAATGCAATCAAGTTTGACGAATTTCACACTACTAAGAGTTATCTCCCCTTGTCGGCATAACTCTCATTTTTCCCACTTTGTCCATTGTAAGTTACCTGTTATTATTTTCAATCTTCAAACGTTATTGGACTATTTAGATCTGTACTGGTATTGCCGAAGTTTGGGGCAACATGAAAATCTTAATGAACGATATTCATTACAGATTTTATTTTTAAGATACTGACCAATAAATTTGGTAAGGTTACAGAGGGAAAAACAGGGCCTTACGCTGGATTGACCCCGCAACGGGGAATAACTTTTGTAAATTTAATGTGAAAGTTGTCTATTTTTTTTAACATATATTTTTTTTTAACCTCAAGGACAAAAAGTATACACTTGGAACACACACAAAAACAGATGAGTCCATGCCAAGCTAAAGATTAATGCAGAAGGTAAGTTCAATTTTTCATTTTGTAACTCTTCTGGTTTTATCCAGATCGGACCTTACATATAATTAAGTCAGCTTCAGTATATAATAGAAGAATATGGAGATAACGAACAGTATTCAATCTCAAAGTCCATAAAACTATACAAAATAAGAGCAGAGCAAACACGGACCCCCGAAACATCAGAGGTGGGATCAGGTGCCATAATAAAACACCTATTTACTTACTATTCGGAAAATAGCTTGTTTATCATCTCCCTCAACAGCAAACTATTTCTCTCAGCTGCATCTTGGGGAATAGTTGTTGTCTTGGGGGACGATAAACTAGCTTTTGTCCTTATAGCCAGTAAATAGGTGTACATGAATACTGTTTTTAGCTCCTCTGAGCCAAAGGCTCAAAGAGCTAATGCTATGGCCATTTGTGCGGTGTGCATAAACTTTTTAGAATGTGGGCCATAACTCAAGATCCCCTTGGACAATCATTGTCAAATTTTCACAGAGCATCCTTGGTCCAAGGGCTACCATTTATACTAAAATTAGGGTTTGGACCCTTATACAAGGGGAGATAAACAGGAAGATAAAACCAAAAAAAGTCTATATTGGCCAAGAATTGTTAAACTTTGTGAGTTGAGGCATCTAGGGTTTTTGGAAAATGTCGACCAAAAAGTAGGTCACCATGACCTACTTATGGTATTTTATAGCTCTATTGAAATATCTTCAGTCCTAACTGGCTAAGAATCATTATCGAACTTTCTTGGTTGATGTATTTTGGGTCTTATAAACATAGAGGCTTCAAATACTAGTGATAGATTGTACAATTTATTAGAAGAGCAATTCAAGGCCCTTTGGTTTCCAGTTATCCATCGTCATACACTGTGCTCTGTCTGGTAAAATTTTAGCATTTACAGCATCCTCCCAACACCGCCACCCAAACTAAGGGGGGGGTTAACCCCATGGATTAATCTAGGTTTTTGGGGAAACTACCCTTTCTGGAGAAATTGGGAAAATGAGCCGAGGTATGGGAACCACTTGAGCTAGTGCAGGGCAAGCCCTGCTTTGGGGCTAACTGACTTACAGCATTTTTATGACCATTTATAATGCATGAAGTAGCAAATTAAAACCATATTTCTCATGTAATGAAAATTTTACTTTAAATTTTCAGTTTTTATGAAAGAAAAAGAAATATTTGAGGTTTTTGCTATTGTAAGGGGAATATTTTACTCATCAAAAGGGAAAAAATTAGATCTTCAGGGGAAATTTTCTGTAGGGGAAAAACACCCATTATTGGTAGTAAATATGCCCTAGATTAATCCCTGAACCCATCAATATTATTCAAAATTGTAATTTTTTGATTGGACATCAAGCAAACTATTAGCAAGATTTTAATAAGCATTGAGTCCTATTAAAATTATGAAATTCATATAGCCCCAGGGTAGGTGGATCAGATGTAAAGGCACAGCTTTATTAATTAATCATAATCTGAAAATGCATTGATTCATTGAAAATCTATAGAATGCTCCTAAGTTGAAAGCAAAAAGACTAAGTTCATGACAATGAGGAATAAGTTTTATACCCTTGTAATCAAAGATTCTGGGGTACATCTATATAGCTTTTGCCCTGTCTGTCTGTCTGCAAAATCTTTTCACATTGGCCATATTATTTTAGTGGGTGAAAGTATGGCCTTCATATTTCACAGACCTGGGTATTCATTGTGACAATACTTTTGTATTGGTACACCAAATTAACCTTTAGAATTGAACTTGGATTGTGACTAACTTTTAAGAAAGTTTCATAACTTGAATCTTGGCCATAACTTTTGAACAGTTGGTGCAAGGGCTTTCATACTTCACTTGTATATTTACTGTGACAAGACCTTTCAATGGGTATAAATTAAAATATTTGACCTTGAACTTCTAGTTTAACCCACTGTTTAAAAAAATTTAACTTTGATCATAACTTTTGAGCTGGTAGTAGTAGGGCTTTCATATTTCACAGATTTATTCTTTGTGACAAGTCCTTCCTGGATGTCAACAATTTGACCTTGACTTTGGAGTTTGACTTACACTTGGGAAACTTTAACCATAAGCTGGCATATGGGGTATTAGTATGTACAAACACATCTTTTTTTCCGAGTTCACGCACAAATCAATGCTATGTAATGAATTTTAGATAAGAGAATTACAAGGTAAATATTTGAGGATATTGTGAAAAAATAGTTTAAAAGATCATGGTTATGAATACTAAAAAATTAATTATTTAGTATTTATATTTAAGTTATACAGTGAATCAACCATGATTAATATCAGGATAATAATAATGTTCAGGGGAAAAAATGGGTTTTTCCCTTATTCCATGCATCTTATATATTTTCTTTTTCTTTACAGGCAAAAGAGAACTGGAGAAAAATGAATTGATGTTAACATACTCTACATTAAATTTGGTTTAAATCTAAATATGTCTTTTGTTGTGATTGCTTCAAGAGCAATTAAGGATCAGGAAATTTAAAGTGAAGGATAACCAGAAAGTGGATCATTCAACAGATGAAAAGAAAATATGCCTTTGAGGGAAATTATGTCAAATGCATGAATTGAATATTTAAATTTCACGTAATTTTTGTTTCACCAACGTTTACAATATGTGAAAAAAATGTTCAAAACATGTGTTTAACCATGGTTTGACACATTTTTGTATGGTATTCATACATTTACTGTATGAGCAGTGCAAATAATAAACCCATTAAACATGTTATGAGAAACATATGTTACACACACGTTGCACGTACGTTATTCATATGTGAAAAATATGAATAACATACGTGTGCAATATATGTGTAACATATGGTGGGCAATACGTACGTTTAACATATGTGACACACATGATATTCACCCGTGTGAAAACGTATGTATAACATACGTGGTATCTTTTTCATGGAAAACGCACGTGAAGTCACGTACGTGTCACATATGTTTAACATACGTGAAACGTACGTGGCACAATTAGCTGTGTAGTTACATGTTAGGCTACTACTTTCACACTGAATTATCTACTAATGTTCTGTTTACCCAACAAATGGCAAAGAGAATACAGCAGGTGTGATCAGTCGACAGGGGATGCTTACTTCTCCATGGCACCTGATTGATTGACAAAATATGTATGAGACTCTCGTGATCAACATCTTTTGAGATAATATAAATCTAGAGTAAAAGACATGACAGAAAACATAACCAAATTATAAATCTTTTCAATGGGGGTCCGAAGTAAACACGATTTCAACCCGTGAGTTTTAAGTAACCTTGATCGTTAAACACCCAATTTTATGTTAACGCCCCCAAAGTCTACCTGATTCAAGATCAATAGTTTACCGCCTGTCAATCATTAAAAAAACAATAGCTTCTGGTTTGATTGACGGGTCAGCTACCTGTGCTTCATGATAATCTGAGTTTGCATGTTTTGAAAACAATTACCTGGTCACGCGTCAAACACTTTCATGTACCCGCATAGTATACACGCGGATTAGAAAACTCCAATATGTTTGAATTTTATTTCAAAAAATAATTGAAAGTAGATTATTTAAACATTGACATAATAAAATATTTCTTTTCTATCTTCACTGCTGTTTGTTACTTGTAAGTGCTATATCGTCCACGTTTATCTGTAGACCGCGTCCACAGAAACCGGCTCTATTTGCCGTAATTAGAAGTCCGACGAATTAAATTATATTTTTAAGAAATGGGATATAAGAAAAATATTCAGCACTAATAAACGGCATAGCATAGTTATTAAAAGATGTTTTATTTTGTATTATGGCTACAATCCGCACGGTGTTGTACAGAAATTGATGTCAGAATTAATGCTCGAATTTCCTCTAGCGTCTGTATATATACGTAATGAAAATGTGAAGATAATTAATAGTGATCGATTCTGAAAAGAAATCTTTCTAACAATAAAATTTTGTTAACACACGAAGAATCAAAAATATGGAATATTTTGGACAACATTGTTGGCCATAAAAAGAGACATTTCGATCGCGGTAAATGCATGTTCACATGCACGACGAATAGGTGGATCAATAATTTTTTATTTCAATAGTCAGACTTTTTTTAATCAAGTGATTTCTTTCATTGAAGATTAAAAAAGATAATATTATTGATATGTAGTTTTTACTGGTTAATTTTTCTTTTATGTAAGGAAAAAATTTTCTAAAAACGATATACTTGTATCTTATTATTTTTTTTTCCTTCAAAACATTACCATGATTTCGATGAATGCGTTTAGTTTACAAATAAATTCCATATTAAAATAATTATTTTACGTAGTTTTACTCAAAACCAGACACAAAACACGTAATATTGACCCTGATTACCAAACACAGACTTCCTGTGTAATGCTACGTATACACAGATTTTTGACATCTTGGGTATTGGGGGTCTCCAGGTAAATAACACCACTGTTACTTTGACCACTCCCCCTCCTCAGGTAACCGTACGGTAAAAAAATTGGGTCTTTAAGGCATGACACGGATGAAGGTCATAGCATGTGTACCTATGTCGCTGACATCAATAAATACCTAGATATACGAGTTTTGCCTTTATTGTGACCTTAGCTCAAGGTTATCAGAGTCAGTTTACCCCAAATCGAGGCATACAAAAATTCCTGAAATAACAGAAATTTTTTTATTCTTTTATTTGAAAGACACAAGGTGAACAATAAATTAATGAGGTATAGATACAGATGACGTCATGTCGATGTCCGCGGCCTACTACGTTTTTTCCGACATTGAATTGAGAATGATTTTGTCTATTCCCTGGAGCTTCTGTTTCTCCTTTCTTGCTGCCTTCTCTCTCTCCTGTTTTCTTCTCATTCTTCTTCTGAAATCTCTCTCTCCAATTAGCAACTCTCTGTAAAATGTTAAAATAGACTCAAACATCGTCCTTTTTCATTTCAGAATTACGATAAAATGCTAATTAATAGTTACATCAAAGGAAATACCGCAAAATAAACAAAACTAATCTGTTCAAACATTTTCTGAAAAATAAATACCTTGCTTACTTTATGATAGATTTCGTTAATTTACAAAAATATATATGAACTCTGCAATAGAACTGTAAATTAATCTAATTGCATGGTTTTATTGATAAAAGGAGACATTTCTTTTACAGGATGGAAGCATCATATTGCTGATTTAAAACATCCGCTAGTATCTAACAACTACTCGCAGACAGAGGAAAATATCTAGTAACTTTAAACAGACAAAGTTATATATATTACCAGTTATAGTATGAAAATAACAATAGACTTAAAGAGTATAATAAAATTAACGAAAAAAGTTTTACATAAATGTACTTGCAGTCAAACAATTTAAACAAGTTTTCTTTCAAGCTAATAAAGAATTATAATATACCAACACTCAAACAATTAACGCAACGTATACAAACCGAAACAATAAATCAGCTAAAACAAAACAGTAAAGCCATATCTAGCCGGTATATCTAGCCACATCAAAATATCTTTGTTCCGAATAAAGCATGAAAACATAGCAATCAATGAAGCTACTCGAACGCTCTCAATACAACAACATTCTTACCATTCAAAAGCTTCTCCAGTTTTCTTTAAATTCAGCAAAAAATAAATTTATTCAGTCATTTTTAAAAATCATAACTTCAGGAAAAATGTACATTGTGATAAATCACGTGACTAGTAATAAGGATCACGTGACCAGTACTCACGAGAAGTCGACCTCGCCATCTCCATCCATGTCAAGTTTGTCCAACATTACATCCAGCTGGTGCTCTGTCAGGGGAACCTCCGCCACCTATAATTAGAAACAACAACTATAAATTGCAGCAACACCTAATTATAGAAACAACATCTATAAATAGAAATAGCACTTAAAAATAGAAGCAACAGGAAATAGATGGAGTGTTTATTTTATGGACGTTTAAGCGAGGATCGATAGAGTGCTCCCCCCCCTCCCCCGGCTAGAGACATCCTCCACTGGCGCTTACCATCATCCCGCGTTTGAACTCCTCCCTGCTGACGCTCATATCCCCGTCTTTGTCTAACCACTTCATCAGATCTATCACGCGGTAGTTGTGTTCGTGCATGTACCTGTACAACTCGTACACCGCGTCCAAATTCCCGTCTATCCCGGTCCCCTTCCTCCCACGCGCGTTTTCACGCTTGATCACTTGTCCGTGAAGGACATTTAATGACCTTGTGGACTGAACATCATCCAGCTGTGCCAGGAAATCTTCGTCCACTTCATTATTCTACATACAGAAAAAGAAAAAAAGCAAAACCTCGTAGCCTAATTACGACACGTCACAGAAACATTCTTGTTTATGAATAGTGCTTCGCTATATCTGTATTGTACTGTACACGTAGTTTATTAAAACAAAACCAGTGACATCTACTGAATTTCCTTCTATACACGATATAAATGAAATACCAGTCCCAATTTTAGATGAAAACAGTTGTGAGTTGATTGAGGAGATACTCACCCCGAGGTCTAACAGAGTGACCCGGCAGGAATCAGACTGAGCAATGCAAGACAAAATGATAATGGCAAGTTCTGGCGTTATAGAGTTTCCTCCCATCTGCAAAAGAAAATCACGTTCATTTTTGTTCAACTAATGAACATGATGAATGAGGGATTTTATGTTGAGCATTAGCAAAAGAAATGGATCCCATATTTTGAAATTGAAACCAGATGAAATCCTTTATAAATACAATTCAGCTTTTGAGAACGCAACTATTATTTTTTTTACTCTACCACCCCCTTCCCATGATATAATTCTTCAATTTCCATTCTAATGACGTACTCTATTCCTCCTTCTCTTGCCCTAAGAATTTCATGAACATTACTCTCTTTGCTCCCCTCCCCCCCTCATGACGTACCCTATCTATCCCCTCGTTCTCTTACCCTCAGGATTTTCAGACCGTCACTCTCTTTGAACCCCCTGACGTACCCTATCCCCTCATTCTCTTACCCTCAGGATTTCCAGACCGTCACTCTCCTTGACCCCCTGCATCAGGTACCCTATCCCCTCCTTCTCCAGTCTGTTGTGGGAAATATCTAGTTCCTTCAGGGTCGTGTTTTCCTTCAGAGATTTACACATCACTATAGCGTCGTTCTTAGAGAAACCATTCCACGCAAGATCAAGCTTTCTAAGACCTATATTTTTCTGAAAAGAAAAATTAAATCTGTATCTAATTCATGACCCCTGAAAATTGTATTTCAAAAACATATGCATGCAATGTTTATTATCGGTGTAATAAAAATACAGTTCAACCTCAATATATCGATCTCGGTTAGGCAAGGTGCTCGAATTACCATTTATTAATAATTTATTAGACTGGCGTTCTCATATTTGTCAATCAATGTTTTGTTGTTTAGTTTTGATTGTACAATATGCCACATGCCGTATAATAGCTGACTGATTGTACCTGTAGACTAGCTGCGATAGAGAGGGATCCCTTCCCCCTCAAGTGATTCCAACTAAGGTCGAGGATTCTTACAGTATCGTTATTTGCTGAAAATTAAAAAAAATGGAGGAAAAAGTATTTATCAATAGGCTGTGATTTAAAACCCATTCTAAATCTCTCATGACTCACAATTGGTTAAAAAAGGATTTTTTTTTGTTTTACGATAATGATTAATAATATTGCCACCAAAAATGGAGTTGTATTTCGTTATGACATAATTATTTTCCTCAGTCAGTCTTACTTATTGCTTGTGCTAGGATGTATCCCCCTTGCTCACTGAATCCGTTGTGGCTTAATATTAGTTCTCTAAGTGTTGTATTATTCTGTGTAAAATAAAGATCTCGATAGAATATGATAAAGAATTGATTGTATGATAAAATCTTTTAAAGTAAAATTTAAGAGATAGCAGCTATTTTATCCTCCAAAAAGGTAAGATTTTTAGCTGTAACTGATTTTTACTATTTATCATAAAAAAAGATTAGGTGTCATAGAAAATAATTAGTACCTTTAAAATATCGGCTATAAGATACGCATCACTATCGACTAGATTACTTCCTGGAAAAGAAGAAACGTTTTCATTTCCTTCCTACTTTATCATTATATCAAGCACTGTATATAACACGCACCTGATAAGTCCAGGACCAGATAAACTGATTATTTTAATATTATATAGAGCACCTTTGGATATCGCGCACCTGCCATATCCAGGGATATATAAATTGATTATTTTATTATGATATCGAGCACCTGAGGATAACACGCACCTGATCTATCCAAGGACTGGATAAACTAATTATTTTATTATAAAATCGAGCACCTGTGGATAACACGCACCTGCTATATCCAGGGACTGGATAAACTGATTACTTTATTGTTATATCGAGCACCTGTGGATAGCACGCACCTGATATGTCCAGGGACTGGATAAACTGATTATTTTTCATCAATTGAGATATTGCACGTGCCCCATTTGTCCCTATACAGTTCTCCGAGAGCCATGAGTAGATATTCTGCAAAATACTAGTGAACACATCATTCAATTTCACTGCATTTTATTTAATTTGAGTTTTGCTATAAAATATGCCATTATGGAATAGGTACTTAGTATGTTGTTGTTAGATGACTTAATTTTGCGAGGTTATTTAGTATATGATAGAAGGAATATGGACTAAGAGTAACAAAATACAGTCATGTAACAATAATTAACAATGGTTTAAAAATATACCATCGGAGTTTTATCAAAGTAAATCAAAGTTTTTATCATATCAAATAAAACGTTTTTACTATGGAAAAAATAATTACTTGTATATTGTATATACTCAAAAAAGATCTATCCTTATGTTCTTAGTAAATTGAAGAATAAAAGCATATACTATCGTTGACTGTAGTAAACTATCAATAGTGAATTTTTGTTAAGGTGTCTACAAATCCAAAATCGGATCTAGGGGGATTGGGGAAGATCCCTTTTCCCTTGAATTTTCAAAGTTATTTAATTCCTAGGAAAATGACATGGAACACTCCCCATTACACATTGTCCCTTCTTAAATTGTAAAGGTAATCATGTACTTGTAGCTGTCAAGAAGGTTGACATTGCAAAGTGTCTTCTACCACTCCCTCCCGACAATTTAAAATAGTTTAACTCATAACTTGTTTAACTCACTCACCACATCTACGATGTTACTATTAACTTCTAACATTTCTGCTATAGCTTTAGCTCCCTCGGCCTCGATTCCGTCATCCTCTAAATCGAGGCTGGTTATAACGTCATTATTCTGAAATTATTCAATCAAAATTGGTAACAACTTTTTTGGAAAAAAAGCTTCTTGTTAACCCACCTGCTACCTCACTCGATTCTTTAAATATCTTCTCTACTTCTTCAATACTTTGAATTTATACTTGATATATCTGTTAGATTTAAAGGTGTTCAAACGTGTTTAAAGTTTTTAATGAGAATGTAAACTACTCACAAGTAAAGCTATAGCGAGGGCCCGCGCCCCCAGGGGCCCTATACTGTGATTCCTCATCACCAGTCCTTTGTTTGACATCTGTTTACAGAGGTAGGTGACAGGCGTGATCCCCAGTAGGCTACACGAGTCCAGGTAAGTCTGTAGGCGCGCCTTAGGCTTCACGTCTACTTCCTCCACCTTAGGTTCCGGTTCCACTGCAAATCACACACGTGTTCGATTGAAAAAAAAAAAGAAAAATATGGAAGTGGTATTTTCGTCCTGAATATTACTTTTAATACTGTTGCCAATAATTCAAATGTATGGTTTGGTAAACATTAAGAATAGCGCATTATTACTTGAAAATGATAATTCATCTGTTTAAAAATTAGTCAAAAAATTAGCTTTTGGTGCTCCATACACAGAAAGGTGAGGGCCAGTATATGTTGCGTTATTAAAATTTCTTCTCGTAATGGAATTAAATTTTGAAAATATAATTCAATAATATATGGTTTGGTAAACATTAAAAATAGCGCATTATTACTTGGAAATGATAATTTAATTCGTTTTAACTTCAAACTCTTCGTATCAATAATTTAAAAAGTCTTTTGATTATTGATTCAAAGCGGACTATTTCCTTGTAATTTTACACTAAATAGTTAATAAGAATACCAACTTCTAATCTGACCATTTCTGAAAATTAATTTTAAATTGTTTCTTCTCTGCTTTTTTTTAAATTGAAGTCACTATAGTCCTACTTTGAACAAAGTTTCTTTACAATTATTTCAAAGAACCTTTCATTATAAGTTTATATGTTCTTTAAAAAGTGTTATTAAATGAAAAAAGCCCTTACTTGGTCTTTGCTCAACTTAGAAGACACATGGCCCTACATTTAATTTATAATTTCAAATTTCTTCAGCCTTACAAATTAAACTGGTCGTTTTGTTACAAGATATAGAAAACATAGCAAACATTACCATCAGCCATGATGTCATATCCGGTAAAAGTAAACTCTCTGATTGGCTGAAGCTTGGAGAATTCCGTCGAGACACTCTCGCCATCCTGAGACCGCCGGGAATACGCAGTACTCCTTCCGGGAGCAGTTCCAGGTTTTTTGACATCAGCACTTAATTCGGACTGGGCTGGAGACTGAGGCTTACTTCCGGTTCCGATCGGGGATCCGGCCACCACAGATTCCCTACTGCTACATCTTTTGTCGTGGAGCTTCAGTGAGCTGGAACTCAGGTAAAGCGTGGCGGCTTTATTTCCGATCAGAACATTTTCCCCCTTTCCGGTGGAGATGAAGGCGGATTTACTACTGTCCTGCATTGTGGAGTCCGGATCTGATGAGATCAAGTCGACTCCGTGGTCTCCTGTCAGCTGAAAAGAATCCAATTTCATAATTATAAATGTGTCTGTTGTGTGTTATAATTAAATAAACGCCATGTGTCGAGATTTTTTATATTTGTTGAACACGTGGGTCCATGCTGTGCAGTTATTTAAATGAATGACTTTTTCACATTACTGTACGTCAATGAACATTTCTTATAAAAAGCTTGAATAAAGTTTTCATTAAGGATCAGGCAATCGCTTTAGGTTAATTATACAAGAGTCAGGAAAAAGAACTTCGAACAGTAAAGTACACTTAGACGGACTATAAGACGTCAAACGTTACGCTTAGTTACCCCAACTCAGAAACACCGTGTTTTTATTAGTAACACTAATAAGAAATTTAATCGATTTACAGTTTTTAAATCTTAACTAGTTTATTTAAAGGTATAAATGGAATATAATGTTTTTCGTGACACATACCGAGATCGGACATTGAATAAAAAATTGTGGGGTAATGAGAGAAGGATGTTAGGGGAAATGAAGGATTCAACAAAATGGGAGGATTTGGGAGAAAACGAAGAGGTGTTATAAATGGGGGAGGGGGGGGGGGGTAAGATGAAAGAGGAATAGAATAGTGGGAGTGAGAGAAGAAAGAAAGGGAACTGGAGAAATTTCATCCCTATATCCATGTTTATGCTAAAACATGTAATTCAAAGTTCTAAGACTGAGAGAGATGGGGCCGGAGAAAATCTCCTCCTCCCTCCCCAATCAAACGCACCGGACACTTAGAAATTTTAAAAGAGTTGCTTTTCAGATTCTTCATTCAGTAATTAAACCGTGTATCTAATTATACAAGGGGTTGGTAATAGGGACCTTCATTACATGAACCACACATATCTAAGGAGAAAATTTTCTTCGCGTGTAAGAAAAAAATACATCTCATTTACAAATGCCTGAATAAAAATAATTTACATGTATACATTAACACTGAGTCTGGACTCGTATACATATGAGTTAATTGAAGATGAGCATTTTAACTTTAACGTCAAACTTAAGATGAATCAACGCGGGTCATCTTATCGAAACTGGTTAAGTATAGTACCTTATATGTGTGTAATGAAAAAGGTCACGGTGACTCGAACATACAGGAACATTTTATTTGAACACAAATAAATGAACTTGTGAATGGTTAATATGGATTATATAAGCAAGTGCCAGGGTTAAGTTTAGCACTATATATTGCATGACACGATGTAATTTGTCTTTTCTATAACTGGTTAGTAGTTTCACATTTACGGGAGGTTTTAAATATTGTAGGGTTCTTTATTTCATTGGGTTATATGAAGTTTAGGGAGATAAATATCATCAACGTCATTAAAAACTTAATTATAGAAAATATACAATGTGTCTTCCGTATACCGAATAACCTAAATCTGAATTGATTCAGTTGCATACATTTTATAAAGACCTAAAAAAAAAAACTGTTGTCATTACTCTCTGATTATACTTATGAGGGGATCTTGTTTCTTGTAAACTCACGTGAATTTTTCTGGGGACGCGCGATGAATATATTAAGGCTGATAAAAAAAAATAAAATTAAGAAACTTTTGACTTATCTTATTGCATATTTTGACGGATGAACTTCATGCGATATCGAACGGTAAGTACATAATAATTATATACAGAAATAAAAACAAAGAAGTAAAATCTCTAACCTTATTCCCCATGATGGCGCTGTGTATTTATTTGTCGCTGAGTCTTCACATGCAATATCATTTATGTACACATTTAAGTGGGTAAGTTTATGGCTTGTTGTAGCTATCGATGACATGATTACCTGCCTTTTAATTTTACCCGATTCCTCTTTGAATGGACATTAGATAATGCGGACGATTTCTCAAATGACTTTTAAATGAAGAGCCCACACCCCGAGACCTAGATTGTCAATATGTCGTGGGAAATAGGAAATAGAGAGGGGGGGGGGGATAAATACCTGGGCAATATATACTTTTATAACAACTGCATTCTTTTAACATTAGTTCATTATTTTTTTTTCCTTTTTAGCACAAACATGTATAACATGTACATATGCAGTGAAACCAGAGATTTGAGATTTTACTTCCTTTTTAACTCAGTTTATAACCGTTAGCTTCTCAGTATGTATAAAACTCACGGAGAATGAAATTCAATTCGCTATAAGTGTCAAATCATTATGTGTTCGCTACAAGTGTGATTTACTGTAAATGCATAAATCAATAATTTCGAAACTTTTTTATAGTCTTACTTGACTGATTTTAGTATGGTCCATCATCTGATGGACAGTGTGATACACCCCCCCCCAACACACACAAACCTTCTTGTACCTCATCAAAAATTTAATTGTTATGTATATACATGTATATGTTATCTTCTCAATTCTGGTGATATTAATATTAGCAAAATTTACAAAGCAAAGACCAAGAACTCGGCTGAAGTTAAAATAAACAAAAAAAAAAAAAAAAAAAAAAAAATAGGGGTGAATGTTTTCTCAGTATAACTTTATGAATATTTTGGATTACTTAACTAATGTTATAAACCAAAATTAATATAATTATACTCACAGGCGTTTTGGAGGAATTAGATTTTTAGAATGACGATAACTGTTTTTATTTGGCAAGCCTTGGTATCACTGTATAAAAATCATTTAACAGTGTCTGTTACACAAAGTGTCTTATATACTATTTTAAGTGAGATAGATATATAACTTCGTATTTTCAAAACATCCGTAATTAATTCGCATCTGTAATTACTATGAATTTTGTAGATATATTACAGGGAAAATTACTAGTATATGAATTTGTCAAAAGTTCTGTTCGCCTTCTTCCAATGTGTTTCTGGTTCTTAAAAAGATCGTAAAAAAATGACATACCTGCTACTGAAATCCTTTACAGAAATTCTCTTTTGAAGTCACTCCATTTATTTTGTGTAAGCAAATGCCAGACACCGTCTTTATAATAATAAATCACATCTTTGATTCGAAAGTTTTTTAAAGATAAAATCGATAAAACGCCATTGTTTTAAGAAGACCTTTGTTTTAAATTCCTCCGGTGTGTTCTGTGTCTTTTCTTTGTCAGTGTGCTCTAACATTGAATCAAGAGAAATTTTTCTTGTATTTCGTGTAAGTTGGATGTTAGTAATTTCTCGCCGTTGATTGTATACGTTATATTGTTACAAAGTTTGAGCTCTACGCCAGTGTACATGGACTGACCAATTAAGACTCGTATTGGTTCCCAAGAAATGATGCCTAATTAAAAGCGACAAAAAGCCAGCGGAATGAGCCATCTATTGGTTTAAGCTTTAAACTTCGTAAATCTCCCATATTGATTGATGTTAATTATTGACAATTATTTCTTAAATGCGTAAAATATTTCAGTTAAATTGCTCTGACTATTTATCGCTTTTATTTTCATGTGGGAATTAAAGGACATATGAGAAAAGGAAATTATTGAAAAAATGTAGACATCATAAATCTCATATATTATCAAAGAATTGATAAATATTGTGTTTCAAAATTAATAAGGGGTCTTTCGCAAAACTTACCTAATATCAGTGTTAAGGATCCAGAAACCGAGATAATTAATTTCCTCACAGCTGACTCAATTATTGTTTTGTTTTCGGTCTGATAATTAATCTATCAGCTATAAGGGGGTGTTGTTTATTATACATGTATTTTGCATCATAAAAAAATCACAATTTTTATCTCGCTCTGCGTTATCATTTCATATCATCAACATTGCATATCATCGGTATCTTCGATCTCGACTCAGAACAAAAATCTATAACGCCGGATAACAGGAGATGACAGATACATACGGATTATATATGAATTTTGACAGCCTATCTTAAATCTGCTGTAACTTGTTAAAAAAGTTGGGGAACAATTTTTATCTCTGTTTCTTATTATTATTATTATTATTATTATTATTATTATTCCTGGGAAAATTTTGTCCTCGAGTGATCTTGTAAACTATACATCCGACTAAGGTAAAATGTTTTTAGGGTCAGTAGACATGTTAAGAAAGGTCATAACGCGCGCACGTGCTTGCAAGAGCGCGCACGTGCAACACGAGAAATGACCAATATATTGGATATTACTGTAACTTTTCTTTTTTTGGAAGAATTTTTTTGAAACTCATAATATAAGGATACATTAGTAGTATAGACAAGATGGCATGGTCAAAATAGCAAGATCTCACGCGCATGCACGTGCGCTTCGCTCTGATTGGCTGAAACTAAAATCTCAATATCTTTCTTGTTTCTTGTCATAATCTTTTGAAATTTTGAACATAGTCCTACATTATAAAGATCTACAGCATGATATATAAAAAATTCCATGAAAGCATGCGCATGCGCGCGTGCTGCAATCTGATTGGCTGAAACTTTAAATGGCTATATCTTCTTTGTTTTTTACGAAATGCATTGAAATTTGAAACATAGTCATGCATTGGGACACACATATGATATAAGAAAAAATCATGAAATCACGCGCATGCACGTGTGCTGCAATCTGAATGGCTGAAACTTTATATGGCTATATCTCCTTTGTTTTTTGACGAAATGTTTGGAATTTTAAAATATAGTCATTCATTTAGATACCCTTCAATACGATAAAGATAAAAAATAATGAAATCACACGCATGTATGTGTGCTGCAATCTGATTGGCTGAAAATTCAAATGGCTATAACTCCTTTGTTTTTCAACGAAACAGGATGGGATTTAGAACATAGATAAATATAAGGGACTCCTAAAAGAAGGTGTAGTCATTATGCACGTACTTGCACGTGCGTTTAAAATTAAAAATACATTCGAATGAGTGTATTTTTTAATACTTATGGATTAAATGCTTTGATATTAAGTATATTAAAATTTTAGATAGTGTAGACAAGATAATATGGTGTACGCAAATGAAAATTGCAATGCCTATTTTTAAATATATTTTGTATTTTTCTGGAAGACTAAATTCCATAAAGTATTTCTTATTTAATAGAGATTACAGGGAATATGGCACCAAAAGGGAGGTGGGGAGAGTTTGGGGAACATCTGTAACGGTCCCCGTTACAATTAGCACTAGTTTTGTTTAAAGTTTAGATTGGCATTGTTGATATTTTGAGAATTAAAAACTTGAAGTACTGTCAAGATTTTTTAACTCAAAATCAAACTTGCTACATGGCTTTAAAAGCGTAACACACATAGTAAAGTTCACAAAAGCCATTCAGCTTTATTATTCATTGTATATCTCCGTGCTCAAATAAATGGACTTTTAGACCTAAGCTAAATAAAGTTTGTTATGTTACTTATATCAAAGGAGTTTGGTAAGGAGGGATTTGCCAATAGGAAATATTTGTTTACTCTCGAAAGTATTGTCACTTGTATGTACTCCCAATCATTAATTCAGGGTTGTTCATTTAAATAAACTCGAAGCATTACCCAAAGGTTAAAGAAATTAGGAATTCAAAACTAGTTGCACCAAACTATTCTTTTTAACTAAAACAATCTAAATGTTAGATGTGGGAAAAGCCTCTTAAAAAGAATTCATTTTCTTCTATTACCACAAATATAATATGTGCTTACGTTATTATGTTATTTAGAATATGCTCGTATTCAGCGTATTCAGTAGAAGTTAAAGCTTTGTAAAAAGGAAACTTCATTTATTTTTTTTTATAAGTCTTTATGAAATCAGTAAGAGCACGTACAATGAATCAAGAGGTGGATGGGGATTGGGGTATGGTGTTACTAAAATGTTTTAATGCTGATGCTAATTCATTTATCCCCCAAACCCAACACACTTTATTTATTGAAAAGTGCATGATGCTAGGCGCCTGAAACATGCGTGAAAAACTATAAATATTATAATAATTATATGCATGTATCTTTGAATACGCTAGAATGTTTTTTTTTTCCTTTTTGGATTTTGTGAATAATTTATGGACGCAAATTACACGTAAGTAAATCTGATGAATTCGATAAGCAATTGAAAAATAATATTTTTTTTTTAGGAAATATGATTTAGCACGAGAGAGAGAGAGAGAGAGAGAGAGAGAGAGAGAGAGAGAGAGAGAGAGAGAGAGAGAGAGAGAGATTGTTGTACATTACCCGTCTTTTGGTGTTACAGTAAGTCCTTTATAGGTCTGTGTAAAATAAAAAAGATTAAACGTTTAAATCAAATCTCTGCCATTGGTCTATGGTGGCGAAATCTCGGAGAGTAAACATTCCCCTTGATACCTTTATTATGGTCCGCAAATGCTCTTAGCTTCTGTTTCTTTTTGAGTTCTGATATTTTTGTCGAAAGGATTTGGCGATTAGCAGTTTTGCAACCTGCATTTTGTAATTAATGACACATATAGATTAAAGAACGGGTGTAGACAGACCCTTTCTTTTTCTTTAGAAGGATTAAAGTCACTTAAAACACCACAGTGGGATATCATTAAACGGTAAAACATTCATAGTGAAAGCTAATAAAATGTACACGTGTATTTAAGTTTATTATTGGATAGAGGGGGGGGTTTGCAATGTGGTGTTCTCAGACGGCATGTATGTTCCCATTTTTTGAAAATAATAAAAATAGAAAAATAGCATCGGGAAAATGCATGGATGTCAAAAGAAAGACAGCATAATTATGTAACAATGAACCATTTTTCCTTGATCCACCACTTATTTTCTCTACAGTTATGAATATGTTGGATCTATAGCGATGCTTCATGCCTCCAGAGACATTTATAAATGTATGTACATGTATGTTTCTAGAAATTAAATTGTATATTTTTATGCTCACTCTTACGTTTGCCTTTCTTTAAAAAAGAAAACTTGAAGAGGCTTAGCTGAAGTGTTAAAATAGAAGAAATTATATCTGAAAAATAAATAAAGAAAGAAAATGAATAAAGAAATAAATAAAATAAATAACAGGAAAAAGATGAAAGATTCTCCAAAATGCCAGAATATGCATAAATACGTGAGAGGAGGGCTTAATTTACATACAAGTGTATTTAGGATCCAATCCCTTTTGCCAAAAAGCAAGTGGGGGAATTATTTTTTTTTAAATTAAGATTTTTAGGAACCTGCTTAATTTGATATTACAGGCGCGGATCTATGTTTCTAGGGGACCCGCCCTCTAAATCCGCGCCTGTAATGCGCTTGAATTTCGAAGAAAAAGTTGACTTGAGGGTTTTATCAGTTAATCATTCCTCTAATTCAATTTTTTTTTATGTGAAAATGGCAAGAATTGAATAGATGTTAAGTAGATATTTGTAAAACTAGTCCAAAATCTAGATCGGGATCGAGAATCAAAGCGGAAAAGAAAAGTTCGCGCCAAATCACGTGACAAGATACGCGGGAGATTGAACTTCAGAGAAGAAAGACGGACATTGTTTACTCGCTGCACAGGAATCAAGAGAGATCTGTAAAGATGTACGTCCTGAAAAGAGGTATGATGGCAGTTTTAATCACTGTTGATGAGTAAATTACCCATTTTAGTGAAAAATACATTTAATTTTTGTTCTGCAAAAAAAATTGTAGATCAACATAAAACAGAGTAGGCCTATGGCCTAATGGGGAAAGCGGCCCGTGTATAGACTTTGCTATATGCAAAAAAAATGTTCGAAATTATTTTTTAAGGACAGACGAGACGTTCCTTAATGATAGATAAATTTTTCTAAGAGTTTGTCAATTAAAGTATTGCTACTACAACATGTTTACTCACAAAAAATTGAGGTACCTTACCAGGCATTTCTGAAAAATGAATTGTGTTAAATTATTTTCCAATTTCAAATGTTTAAGTGTTTGGATTTTTTAAAAACGTTTAGAAACTGATTTAGAAAACAGAATGTTATTTAAATTTTGAATATTTTTCATACATTGCGAAGAAATACAAAACAGATTTTGAGGAACGTCTGACCTTAAAACGTTTACATTATAATTATTTTGAAATTTGGTTTTAGATCCATCACAATAATACTGTTTTCCTCTTTTGAAGACTTTATCTATAGACAAACACTGTAGTCACGTTTGTGTTATTTTTGTGTTGTTTGTTGTAGATGGGAGACAGGAGAAGGTCATGTTTGACAAGATCACCTCCAGGATACAGAAGTTGTGTTATGGCCTCCATCCAGACTTTGTGGACCCTGTAGGTTCCAGTATTTTTTCTTTGCTTGGTGCATTGCTTTTTTTAATATATTCGATCGATGCATACTACTTATGCAAGATATATTACTGTATTCAGCGGCAGCTCACACAAATTGGTCCGACCAAAATAGTTCCATCATGATAAGTAGATACAACATTATTGTTCATGATAAGAGTAAAGTTGTGTATGTCATACGTTAAATAAATAAAAAATAACGTCAAAATATTATTAGAAAGTCACTTTCCCCCGAAATGCAAATAAAAAATATCAATATTCCTACGCTCGCTCCCTCCTCAGCCTTTTTTTTTTCTTACATATGTTTGATAACAGAGAATAATAATTAGGTCATTCTTCGATTCATATCTTTTCACCGATGAATTAATAATACTATATCAACAATTGTATTAAGTACATGTTTATAGTCCGTTAATTATCATACAATTTGTTCTTGAAGAAAAAAATAATCATTCTGTGTGTGTGTATTATTAAATGACGGAATTTTCAATCCCTGGCCTGCTCGTGTGTACACTGTAAACTGTAGGGTATGTGTGGCAAAACGAGAACTGGGTTGGAGATTCGGGTTCGTGTTGAAGTTCAGCATACCATGTTATATAGAACTTGAATAATGTAAGTAATTTCTGCGACAAATACATTAGGCCTAGTATATTTCAGTTATTTTAAAAAAAGGTTTTCCATGTTTTCAGTTTAGAATTTTCCGACCCGGTCCTGATTTTCCCAACCCGGCCATTTTAAACACAAGTTGTTGCAGATGCAAATGTTAGAACAAACTATATAAAGTTCAACAGGGATTGTATAATTTTTATTAATCAGAATTCATATTTATATGATCTAATTAAGAAAAGAAAAGTTTTGTGTGCCATCGTAACTTCTCGGCAAAACAAAACGTGTTTCTCCGAGCTCGCTGGATGCGTTTGACAGCTCCATCGCACGTGTGTAGACCAAGGCTAATGTTGGTCTTGCGGACACCGGTACATGTAGGCCTATGTGTACTGTTTGTTGGGAGACTGGGTGACCGTAATGCTATGGACTCACGAAATTTACAACAGTTCCATAATTAGACAGTGCAGTTTTTTTTTTATTAACGTCATTATAAACACTGTTAAACATATCAAATCTAACAGTCGAATATCTTTGGATATGGGGTAACCCATATCTATTCTTGTTCTTGCTCTGACAGGTTGAGACCACTCGGGATATAAATTTACAGTGCAAGAAATGAAAATTTTATTTTGCAATAAATATAAATCTTACTAAGGAATAACTTTTGGTTAACAAGTTTTTCTGTATGTCCATTGTTTAGGAGAATGATTCCTCGGAAGTTGCTTAACTTCTTGAGGATCAATCTATCAAACTGTAGGGTTGCAGAAAAACTTTCTTGCACTGTAAACATATATCCCATCTGGGATATTTCATCCCAAACAAGCTATTATATCCCATTTAGGCGATTGGTTCAAACCTGTCTGTCATCTTTACATATGCAGGGTTCTCAATGGTTATATTCAAAGTAATTGCTTCACCTGAAATATTCGAATATTTCTGGGACAGAGTCTTATCATGTCAGATGATGCATTACTGTACAACAAACTAATACTGTATTGATTTACACGCTTAATTTTTTGTTGCTTTACTGTGAAAAACATGCATCTTACAAGGTGTATGTGTGATTTTCAGAATGATTATTTTATAAATTAGGTATTAAATATATGTGATTGAAGCTTCACAATATAAATCTTGGTTAAATATCTTTGAAGGCCACTGACAGGTTGAATTTGATCTTCTCGATATAAATCTATATAATCTATATTATTTATAATAAATCTATATAATTACATAACTGTGTAACGGTTAATGTTTAAAGGCGGTGATCACACTGAAGGTGATCAATGGTCTGTATCCCGGGGTCACCACCGTGGAACTGGACAATCTCGCCGCTGAGACAGCCGCCACGATGACCACCAAACATCCAGATTATGCAATCCTCGCCGCCAGAATCGCGGTGTCCAACCTCCACAAAGAAACGAAGAAAGTCTTCAGTGGTAGGTGGCTAATGGTCATGTCTTCAAAAATGGTCGTCTTTTCATTGATGGTCATCTCTTACGGCTGCCATTAAAGCCATTTCTGAGAGAAAGGCTTTGAAATAAAGTTGGAAAAAAGTTAACTGTCTTGCATTGTAATGTTTAATGTTTAAACGCATCTGCATAATTTTAATACAAAATTAATATCCATCATCAATGTGTTCATGAGAGTTTAAATGAAGTCGTGAACAAAATCTGCCCTTGAGTTGATGATTTTTATATTGAATGTATTTTAATGCAGTAGATAAAGGCAAGTATAGGTATGCTACATGTTAATTAAAGAATAACTGTCTTATTGTTTGATTTCATGATGTGATCAATCGATTGGCTTGCGTGATAATTTGCATAAACGCTTTTTATGCATAAAACTATGACGCAAGCCAATCGATTGATCATCGCCATGAAATTGAACAATCTGACAGTTATTCATTATATTTACGTGCTCTTGATTCCACAATGAACCAGTACATTGATGCGGAATTTCGGTCGAAACCATTGGAAATGTAAATATTGAGGTTTATATTTCAGATGTCATGGATGATCTGTACAAGTGGATCAACCCTAAAACAAACCAACATTCTCCAATGATATCCGAGGCCATCCACAAAATCATTATGGACAATGCTGACGTAAGCCCTAATGGAAATTTTAAAAAGTAAAAAATAAAAAAAAAATGAATTTGAGGGAGAAAGATATAAATAAGAACTTTCAGAGTAATACCAATTTTTTTAAATTTTAATTTGAACTGTTAATTTTAATTTGAACTGTTTAATTTTACTTTTTCATGATTTCAGCGTTTGAACTCAGCATTGATCTACGATCGGGACTTCAACTACCAGTACTTCGGATTTAAAACTTTAGAGAGATCATATCTGCTTAGGATAAATGGGAAAGTGGCAGAAAGACCCCAGCATATGTTGATGAGGGTTGCCGTGGGAATTCACCATGAGGATATAGATAGTGCTATTGAGGTGAGTGAGGGTTGCCGTGGGAATATCACTATGACAGCTTGCAGTATTTTAAGGGTTATTCATGATCCCTGCCCCCCTGGGGCCTGAGGGGTGGGGCCAAAACCACTAAAATTAATGCAATCTTTAAAAATCTTCTTCTTTACTCCTGGGCATCAAGCAGTCAAACTGTTTGCATGATTGTAATCAGCAATGAGTCCTCTACCAAAATTGTGAAATTCATGGCCCTGGGATCAGAGGTTCTAGTGCTAGGGCGGGGCTAAATAAGTAGGTGGTGAAAATGCATTATTTCTTTGAAAATCTTCTTCTCTGCTCCTGGGTATTAAATAAACCAACTAAGTACATAGTTATGATGAGCAAGAGTGCCTCTACCAAAATTGTGAATTTTATGGCCCCAGGGTCAGGGGTTCTGGTGTTAGGGCGGGGCTCTATTGATTATATAGTGAAAATACATGAATTCTTTGAAAATCTTCTTCTCTGCTCCTGGGTATTAAATAAACTAACTAAGTATATAGTTATGATGAGCAAGAGTGCCTATACCAAAATTGTGAATTTTATGGCCCCAGGGTCAGGGGTTCTTGTTTTAGGGTGGGGCTCTAATGATTATATAGTGAAAATGCATGAATTCTTTGAACATCTTAGGCGACCATAATTTGATTTTTAGTTTTACGGATCCGCCGACTCTAAAAATTGGCATTTCAAAAAAAAAAAAAAATCCGGAATTTTTCATGCCGCTCGTCCGGAACCCGTGTTTTATAAAAGAAAATCACTAAAACGTTTGAATCTCGGTCAACACGTGCAGAAAATGTCAGAACATCGTAATCATCATCGTTGGATTGGTTTTATCGTTTTTAAAAACCAGAGGACAATTACCAACAGATTCATTCAATGCAAACCAACAGATACTGTAGGGGATATTGTGGCACAATGCGCTGGGTCCTCAGAATCGGAGGTCGAGGTGGTAGCGTTTTATGGGAGTCCGAATTGCCTCCAAGTACCCCAGCAGTTGACATCTATATTCAAGTTGATGGTGCTTGATAGTGCTATGCCAGCTGAAGTTATTTATGACATGAACTTTCGTTATGTGTATGTTCATGTTAGAGATAGAGTGCAAGGCCAGGAGGCTTCTTCAGAACGAAAATCAGCTTT